ATATGACAGGGTTTCTCCTTTCTTAAGACTGAATAGTACTCCATTGTGCATATGTATCATATTTTCTTTATTCATCCATCAGTTGATGGACACTTAGGTTATTTCCATTTCTTGGCAATTGTGAATACACTGCAAAAACCATGGAAATGTCAATGTGTCTTTGACATATCGATTTCATTTCCTTTGGATATATGCCACATAGTGACACGGCTGGATCCCATGGTAGCTCTATTTTCAGTTTTGTATGGATCCTCCATAGTTCTTTTCATAATGACTATACTAATGTACATTCTCACCACCAGTGTGAAGGGTTCCTTTTTCTCCACAAGCTCACCAGCACAACAAAGAAAAACTCAAAACCAAATAGACTTAACAGACATCTACAGAACATTCCATCCAGAAGCTGCAGAATACACATTATTTTCATCAGCACATGGACCATTCTCCAGGTGAGATCAAATAGTATATCACAACTTTTTCTGTAATAGGTCAAAAATGTATTTATTTTAAGCTTCATGGGATGATGGTTCTTCATGGTAGACAAAATGGAAATAATGGGTCTGGTCACAGTCCAATAAGGGCTCATTTATAGACTCTGAAATCCAAACATTTTATGATTTTCACCAATTGGGAAATATTCTATTTTTTCAACAATTTAAATATGTAAAACATTCTTAGCTTTGGTACTACATAGAATATGCAGTGTGCTAGACTTACCTCACAAGTTATGTTTTGCTAATCCCTCCCTTCCTTTCTTCCATTCTTCCCTTTTCCTTTTTTCTTTTTTTCATTTATTTATTTATTGGCTTGTTTTGCTTGGTATGTGGCAGTATGCAACATATTAACAGGAGGCAGTCTTATGTCAGTGGAAAAACAGATGACTCGCATCTCAAACTCACCCAGAGTTGTATATAGTAACAATAATGGACTAAGTGAAACAGAAGCCAGGAGTTAAGCTCATTCAACTACTTTAGAGACACCTGGAAGCTTGGTTAAAACACAGATAACTGAGTCTCATCCATAAAATCTTGAGGTAGTGCCTGAATTTCTGTTTCTAACAAGTTCTCATTGACCCTGATTTTGCCTTCCTGAGAATCATATGTTGAGACAGACTTGCAGAGAACCTACAAAGAGGGTCATTCTGTCATTCTAAATCAGGTAGGCATATAAACAAGAGTTATGTTTACTCAAAAGCACTTAGACAATTCAAAGGGAATTGCACTACATGATATCCTACTTGCATTGCAATGAACAGTCACAGAAATTTTCCCATTGCATCTTCTCGGACAACAAAGGTTTTCACTGAGTTGCTCTGGATTTTCCATCATGGCACAGAAGGGAAGCCACTGGAAAAACTTTCCTCAAGGGGACAGTAATGAGCATATCATTATTTATTCACAGTAGCAAAAGGACTCTCTGTCACTGGGGGATTTGGCAACACCAAGGATGAATCCAGACATCATGATAACAGGAGCTGAGAAATCCTGAAGACAGTGGCTTGTGTTTCTCACAGGAGCCATTTCAGCAAAAAAAGAGCGATTTTGTTCATTTTTGACAATAATCAAGCAATCCAAAAGCCAAGTGGAAAGAAACATTCTATAATACTTTGGTTGTTAGAGTTTCAGGTACATTGAAGTCACTGCTTTCATACTGTTGTGCATCTGATACAAAAAAAATCATGCACTCAGAAAGATGCTGTTGCAGAGGCACTGTCACAGGGCATCAGGATGGAAGCCTCAAGGGACTCCTGTGGCTTTCTAAGTAAGCATTAGTGAAGCTTCCCACTACAATTAAAAACATATGCCTAAATATTATTTTTGCAAATGACACAAGCATTTCAATACCAACACACAAAGTCTCTGTAAAGACGCCAGAAACTTATGTGGCAAGACAAGTTGAGGTATTTATGCAAAAGCATGTTTTTTATGGTCTTCTACTGAATAAGCATTGCTGCACAGTTTTTAAAGGCTTGAAAATTCCATCCATGAAATCTACATAGTTTATGTAGATTCTCATGAAAAACTAACCCGATCATGACATCAAAGTCCACCTTCAAGACAGGCTTCAAAGGAAAAAAGGAAAACAGTCATCATTTTTGAGTAATCCGATATACTAGGGAGAGGTGTGACTCTAAATTACAACTTAGCTTCAGGAAAAACATTTTTTCCAACTGTAAACTTCACATTGAGTGATCTGAGCTGAGGCTAAAAGTAAGATTTAGAGTCATTTACATGAAGTCTAATTTTTAATACCACAGCTTATACGTAAATAAAGATTAACATTTGTAGGCATTTATGAATTCATTCCATTACATGTGTCAGAATGGACATTGTCATGATTTTCAATTCATTTCAGCAAATATTTATTGAGGCTACCAGGCCCCGGGATATGCCTTGAGAGAAATTATGTGTCAAAGAAGTATAGAACCTTAGGCAAAATGTGTAGTCATGAATACAATTGTGCAGGACTGGATTAATGCTGGTTAGAGGACTTAGACAAGGATAAATTGAGTTTGAAACATGGTGTTTGAAATATTAATGGGTCCTACAATGTATGTTATCTAACAATGAATTGTAATTGTGAATGGTGAGCTTAGGAAGTGGCAAGGGCTAATGACCCACATTTTGGATTTGTTTGCACAGAATTAGACAACTGAAGTCAAAGGAATGAATGAGATGGTCAAAGAATATACAAACTGAGGAGTACCATGGACAGAAGCATGGGGACCATCCATGTTCCTGAGCAGGAGGAAGCCAGCTAAGGAAGAGGCAATGGCTAGGGAAAGAGAGGACCGAGGTGACACATGCCTGATGCAAAGAGGGGACAGGGCATTTCAGTGGGCAGAAGAATGGATATTATCATGAGACCATGCAAGACTCTGGCAAAATGAGCTATGCAGCAGAGGAAACAGCAGGGGATGATGGACATCTACTTCCATGTCCTAGCATAAGAGACTTCAAACAAACAAAGATTAGTGTAGGGTGAAACGGAAGCATAAAGTGAATAAGAATACAATTGATTAAAAAAAAAAAAAGGTTCTGGAGATGACAAGCTAGATCAAAATTCGAGAGCAAAGGGAGGAACGTTAGTCTGGGAAGGAAAGATTTTAACTCAGATGTCAGGAGCAAAGAGAAGAAAACCCAGGGTAAACTCAGAAACTTGCATTTGGGGAGGAGGATGCCAAGTGGAACACTTCAGAAGATTTTCAACCTGTGATGAGTTGAAGCTGAAGTTCTATGACCATAAAAGTCTCAGCTATGATGTTTTCAGCTTAAGAATATGGAAGAATAAGAAGTTTATAATAAAAGCAGACTTTGGAAATTTTATTTTGCCAGGAAAAATTCACACTTTAAATGGTTGGATTCTGAGTGCAATTTGTGCCTTAATTCAGAATACATATTCTACTACTGCTGAATTCTATAATGACTTTTACAAACTTACTTTATATCTATTTCCTAAAGTAGTGGAAAAAACAGCCTAAAAACTTCCTGGGGTTGTTCTGCTGTTACAATAAGACAAAGGGAGGGACTGCATCACACCTCTGAGGCATCGGTGATGTCAACAATGCATCTCAAAGCTTCCTACTCCTAGTGTGCTCCTTCACACTCCCATATACAGCAGAATCCTCAAAGGGCTGGTGACCACGCCAGCACCTGGGCCTCACTCCTATGGTTATGGCGACAGGGACTGAGAATGTGTATTCCCAACAAGGTCTCAGTGATTCAGATCTTGTTGTCTGAGGACCACACTTCGGGATCTGCTGCTGTAGAGCGTACAAGACTAGTACCTTCCATAGCATGGAGGTCTCTACCCAAGAGTACTTTCATTCAGCTGCTGATAAAGTAAACTGATAGAATGGAACTTGTGGATATATTAAAAGATTAATATTTAGGGGCTGGTGCTGTGGCGCAGTGGGTTAAATCTCTGGCCTGAAGCGTCTGCATCCCATATGGGTGCCGGTTCCAGTCCTGGCAGCTCTCCTTCCAATCCAGCTCTCTGCTATGGCCTGGGAAAGCAGTAGAAGATGGCCCAAATCCTTGGGCCCCTGCACCCATGTGGAAGACCTAGAAGAAGCTTCTGGCTACTGGCTTCGGATCGGCATAGCTCTGGCTGTTGCAGCTATCTGGGGAGTGAAGCAGCAGATGGAAGACCTCTCTCTCTGTCTCTAACTCTCTCTGTAACTCTTTAAAATAAATAAAATAAATTTAAAAAAAGATTAATATTCAATACTTTCAAGAAGCCTATCTGTACTCGAATTAAAACCATTTCCAAATGTTGTATTTAACATGGCATTTGTCATTATCATTGCCCCTAGACAGTGGCCTCATGTATTGATTACAAAGTCATGGAATTGGCTTCCCTTGAGAGAGAAACTTAGCACACTTGGAATGTCTTGCCATGCCTAAGTCAGCTCACTATTCTTATATTCCATTATACTGCTTGCCAGAAACCATGCTAGATGCCTTTCTGTATCTCAGCTCTTTTGTCCCTCACAACCCCTTCCTGTGTTCTTTATTAACTCCACTTTACAGATTTGCACGTGAGGCATAGAGAGAAATATTTAGCTAAGGGCCAGACAGGAGTAAATACTGAAGACTGGCATTGTGGTGCAGTAGGTTAAGTCACTCTGTGGAACACCTGCATACTATATTGGAGTGCTAGGTTCAGTCCTGGCTACTTGCTTCCAATCCCAGTTCCCTGTGAAAGCAGCCCAAGCTGGCTCAAGTACTTGAATTCCTACCACCCTCATGGGAGACCTGCATGGAGTTCCTGGCTCCTGGCTTCATCCTGGCCCAGCCCCAGCAGTTGTGGCCATTCTGTGAGTAGATGGAAGGTGAATCTCTATCTCTCTCTCCCTCCCCTCTCCCTTTCTCACTGCCTTTCAACTAGCTAAAGAAGTAATCATTCAGTTCTTCACAGTTCTTGCCATTCTCTCTGTTATTGTTACAGTGCAGCCCTTGACCCGACACTCAAAGGGTGGCCTCAGCTCAAACACTTACCTGTTCCGAGGAACAGCACATGGTATCTGCCATCTGCAGCATTGACTCGATCCACAGCGATCTTTGTGTACTTGTAGTCTGTGCCTATACGGACGATCAGAGGCCGTCGGTGGATGGGGTAGATGGAATTGTACATGAGCGGATGGTTTCGGATGAATGTGACCACGTCATCTGGAAACTCCTTGGTGGTTCGCAAATTTGGGGTAAATGCTCCTCCGGGGCACTAAAAATAGTTTTTAAAAGTAATAACATTAGTAAAATAATTACATTCTTTCAGTAATAATTAAAAATCCTTTATTTTTAAAACATGTAGAATCTCCAGTTGTTTTGATACCCACTGAGGAGAAAATAATCTGACTACACCCAGTACACTCTTAGAAAATTAACATATAATTGTGCAATTTGACCATCTAAATGAAACCAAGTCCACTTTTCCTGCCCTATTTGTGTTTAGAGAGGATCATTGCCATTGGGCATACGACGAAACTTCCACCCTTCACATGCACTGCTTTTCTACTTCTTATTTACTGCTGAACACTATAACATTAGAAAAAAATTTCTGGATACAACCTAGGACTGCTATTGGTTAACATCAATTACGTTATAATTATCAGAATTGTAATGTACAAGTGGTTTGTTCTAGCTCATCTCCCCTCCCAAATGAGGGATCCCAGAAGTTGGTGCTCCAGTTGGATGTGGAAGTTTGATCTGATGATTTCACTATTGAAAGGACTCAGTTGGCCGGCACTGTGGCTCACTAGGCTAATCCTCTGCCTTGCGGCGCTGGCACACCAGGTTCTAATCCTGGTCGGGGCGCCAGATTCTGTCCCGGTTGCCCCTCTTCCAAGCCAGCTCTCTGCTGTGGCCAGGGAGTGCACTGGAGGATGGCCCAAGTCTTGGGCCCTGCACCCCATGGGAGACCAGGAGAAGCACCTGGCTCCTGCCATTGGATCAGCACGGTGCGCCAGCTGCGGCGGCCATTGGAGGGTGAACTAATGGCAAAGGAAGACCTTTCTCTCTGTCTCTCTCTCTCACTGTCCACTCTGCCTGCCAAAAAATAAATAAATAAAAAAAAATAGAAAGTACTCACTGATATCTGTTACCAGTAGGATCCAGTCCCAACACCTTTGAATGGCCTATAAGCCTCTGTGTGACCCAACCTGAGCTCCCATGGTAATTCTGGTTGATCCTGAGCCTCAAGCATGCTCCCCTCTGGGATACTGGCACCTGCTGTTTCCCATCCAAGTGCTCTTTCAGGACCCCTACCCCATGGCTTTCTCTGATGTTTCCTTCAGTCCTGGATTCCCATGTGACCTTCTGAAAGGAGATGCTATGTATAACAATAGCTCCCACTCCCTGTCTCCATCCCATCTCCCTAACTGGCTAGTGTTCTTCACTGCCCTGATTTACCAAATAGCAATGCATATTTTAGTTGCTGGTATTTTTATCCTCTGCTTCTCCCCCTAGAATGTAAGCTTAGTGCTGGTGGCAGCTGAGTCTGTCTGGCTCACTTGAGGGCTATAACAAAGTTGGTCATGGTAGATAACTGTTAAGAGGTAGCTGAATGAATAAATTCCACTATGCATTATATCTGGCCTGTGATTTTAGTGCAGAATTTCAATTCTAGCCAGGAGAGGAAAGGTTCAGAGTCTCAGGTCCCAAGGGAAAGACAGAAAGCAGTAATGAGATCTGAAAAGAGGACAGCTGGACAGCACCAATAGCTCTGAAAGGGATCCAGGCAAGGGCATCTGAGAAGGCTCCCATAATGGGGCACCTGAGGCCACACTGAAGGTAGCCTGGGAACTACTGAGTCTTGCAATGCCAACACAGCCACTAATTAGACCTCAGTATTGAGTTATATGAGCAAAGCTCATGAGTGTAACATTTTAGCACATGCAAACATTGAATGCTATGAAATACCTGTCAGTATCTCTTCTTTCAGAAACAAAGAACACTCTTGTTTTAGTTTTCATATATTCTTTACTTAATTACCAGCAGGCCAGCATTGTGGTGCAGTGGGTTAAGCCACTACCTGCAATGCTGGTATTCCGTATGAGCACTGGTTCAAGTCCCAGGTGCTCTGCTTCTGTTCCAGTCCCCTGCTAATGTACCTGGGAAAGCAGTAGATGATGGACCAAGTGATTGGGCACTTCTCACCCAATGGAAGACCCAGACAGAGTTCTAGGCTCCTGGGTTTGGCCTGGCATAGCCCTGGACGTTGAAGTCATGTGGGGAATGAATTAGTGAATGGAAGATCTATCTTACTCTATCTCATTCTCTGTTACTGTGCCAAATAAAAAAATAGATAAATAAATAAATAAATAAATCTTTTTAAAAAATGAAGGGCCAAGCATTGTGGCTCAATGAGTTAAATTACCACCTGCAATACCAGCATTCCATATGGGCACCAGTTTGTGTCTGGCTACTCTACTTCTGATCTAGTTTCCTGCTAATGGCCTGGGAAAAGCAACAGAGGATGGCCCAAGTGTTAGCGCCCCTGCCACCCATGTAAGAGACCTGGATGAAACTCCTGGCTTCCTGGCCATTGCAGCCATCTGGAGAGTGAACCAGCCAATGAAAATCTCTCTCTCTCCTTCTAACTCTTTCAAATAAATAAATATATAACCTTAAGAAATAAAAGTTAGCAGATAAAAGGAAAGTGACAAAGTAAGCTTTTTGATCCACAGCAAAGGACAGACAGACACAGCATTATTAGATGGAAACATATGTTGAGGTCGGTGACTAATTGGGAAGTCATTCCTCTTCCAAAGGGGACAACTTGAGGTCCCTATGCTGAAATATAAGCCTAGTGCTGCCAGGTTTCAACAAAAGATACAAATGTTAAATTAAGTGAAATCTGCTGAAGTTTTAATGTCCATTTAGTGAAAAAAATTGAGGGACCAAACTAACCATGGCAATCCCCAGGGTCAAATCCTTGCTGCAGCTTTCCAACAAACATGGTGTCTTGGGGCCAGTGTTACCACAGCCACGTGTGCAAAATGGCCTCAGCAGGCAGATTAACATGACCTCACTCATTTAGATCACATCACCGTGAGGACGACTTTCAGGCTAACTTTAACCAATTAGCATTACTTTTTACAGGACAAGTAAATATAGTTCTTTCATTGCACAAAGGGCAGTTCAATGAGTTAACAAAGAAAGGTAATGAGACTAATTCTGCTAAGCCTCCTTATTCGTTATTCTATAATGAGATTTCATCTGAAGTTCATGCATTTTAAGAAAAAAAGCATTAAAGTTAAATATATGTTTGTTAACTGCCCACAATGAAGACCCAAATGAGCACAAAGAATTTAATCTGAGGTTGTTCTAAGCTGATGGATGTGTTCCACACTTCTGTGCAGTATAGAATTATGGGTGTTTTCTACCCTCAGTCTTCACACAAAGTGGAAACAGGGAAATACATTGCTCACTGAATGAAAACATGGAAAGAACAATGCATGGGCAACTTAAATAGTTCCAGGCCTTCATAAAACACCACTAATTATAGCTTGTGATGCTGAGATGTCTCTTTAAATATTTGCAAGCACTCTCATTTGCAAGTTCTGGAAAGACCCAAAGTTAGCATATATTACTAGGCGACTTTTATAATTCCAGTTAGTACAGTTTGGTGGGATAAGCTTATTAAGTTATCAGTGCCTGGTGTGTGGATTTCATTGCCAGGTAACTGAAATTCAGATAAAAATTATGCTAAAGTTGCTCAAAACAATGGTTATTAAATAAGTAACTCAAATCAAATAAAAATCAGTGATTTTATGTTTATTGAATTATTCCTCAATGGAGATTTCTGTTTTATATTCACAATGAATTTCTTGCTCAGAAACAAGTGTCTCCTTGTATGACTCTGCTTTCCAATTTATAAGAGAATGTTTTTTAGTGTTAACTAATTCTTCCATTGATTTATGGCATAGACTTTGCAGGTAAGACAGAATGAGTGACGATAATGGTGAAAAGAATAAAGATTGATTCCCCTTTGTAAACTGCTTGCACTGGTAAGTTTGCTCAGTGTAAACTCCCAAGTATAAATAAGATGGAATTAACTTTCCCCTCATCTTGTGATAGAGTGAAGAGCGTGTATTGAACCCTCAACATAAGCAAACATTCACAGCTGTCATAAAAGAAAAGCCTTTGTCCGTTAATCGGGCTGGTTAATTTTACTCTACAAATAGTCATTAAATAATTCTGGTTAACCATCTCCTTTAACTGCTTGTTTTTCTGCTGCTCTTTCACTGTTTTGTTTAGCAAGCAGAGATAAGTACTCTTTCTTGAGTAAAGAAATTTTAAGTGTTGTGATTACCAAGGTGTTAGGTGAAACACCAGGAAGAATAATAGCACCATGTTAAGACAGGGTTATCATTTGGATTCTAGTTTGTGTACTGCCCAAAAGCCCATGGATAGGAGGCTTGGTTCCCAAAGTCTTATGTTAATGGTTAATGGGTTAATGTTAATGGCTGATGAATTAAGGGTGAAGACTTGAACCAATTATGGGCCTTTGGGAAGTGATTGGGTTGCATTAGGCTGCTAGGGAGTAGACCATGAGCCAGTCACAATAGCTTTATGAAGAGAGACAGAGGGACATGGAGAAAGAACATACACTCTCTTGCGCTGTGCTTCTTAGCTCACTATGTAATGCTTCTTTTGCCATTCTCTGGCCTCACCAGATGCCCAAACTGATGGGCCACTGGATCTTAGACTGTGCACCTACAGAACAGTAACCCCTAATAAACCTGCTTCCCTCCCAAGTAGCTCCTCTCATTTAAGGCAATGACAAAATGAGTAATACAGGAAGTATTAGCAATGGCTGCCCTTCCCTAACTTCTTCCTTACACTCAGCCACTCATGAGCATGTACTGTTTCTGATTCTCTGGAATGTTTTTCTAATCCTCACACCCATACAAGTCTTTGAAATAAACATATTTATATATCAATGCATATGCCCATTCTTGGGACATGGTTTATTCAGAAAGCTAATAGGGGTCACAAGAACAAGAAGCTCCTCTTTTTTTCTAGACATAAGTACTCTAATAAGGAAGATGGGCACACTCAAAGCAAAATCACAATGAAGATGCGCAGTGATGGTTTGAGATAATTTCAAACAAATAGCAGAACTTGGATCAGGATCGATGGCCATACAGATTCAAGAGCCAATGTTTGAAACAAATTGAGAACAGTGGAGAAGTGTAGGCTGCCAAGATGAGTAAAGAAGCTCAGAGATGAGAAAATAAAAGTCAGAGTAATTCCTGCGGCATTGTAGGTCATAGAGCCCAGAGTGAAGGAGAGAGTGAGAGGGTGACACTGAAGAGAGAGATCAGGAAATGAATATAAAACCTGTCAGAGAAAGTGTGACTGGCAGGTCAAGGGGATCTTGACCTAACACTGGGAAGATGAGTGGTGCATGGATAAACAAAGAAACTTAGTGGCATTCCAGAATCTGAGCTAGTTTTTTGAACTGGTTTATGGGTCTATGAAATTTGTGGCTGAGAGGAACTGATGTTATGTTGAAACCCTTGATGGTCTAGGCCCTTTGTTTGAAGGCCAATTACACAGTTGGAGGCACATACTTCTGCATCCCCTGGACCTCATCATCCATGTATTTTTTTTCCCTTTCACTACCTGCAAAAACCCTCTGCTCCAGTCTGACCAGCCAGACAGAGCTTCCAGGACTCACTTATTAATTTCTTTGCCTTGTTGTGTAAGTTGGACCCTTTGTAACACCCTTCCTTCTGTCTTTCCTTATCTAATCTATGCAAATCCCATCACCCTTAAAGGCAGGTTCAATCTCATAATTGTTATGTGTCCTCCCACACAAGGCACAAAGGAGGTTTCCTTACTACAATCTCTTTTTCCTCTAATCTGAAATCAGTTTTTTTTTTTTTTTTTTAGATTTTATTCACAGGTTTCAACATTGACAGAAGACGTTTTCTGCTTCGATACTTTCTGTGTTGTATTTTATCAGGAACCTCCCTAACTAACTGCATTCAAACATCTAAGAGAAACAGAAATGCTTCTATTGGAGAAACAATCGAAGGCATAGAATCAACAAAGTGCCAGCAATGAAACTGCCTTTTTCTGGCCACAGACTACGTGTTCAAGAATTTTCTGTGCTTCTTTACAGATCCCTGAGCTGTTTGAAGCACACGACTGAAGCAGTTATAAGCAGGTGTTAAAGTTGAAGTTTTTTTTTTTTTTTTTTTTTAAATCAGGTCTGGCTTGAACATGCTCTACAACACACACAAACACAGTCTCCTGCAGAAACCATATACACGTCGCAACAGAATGCACCACATTAGCTGAGCCACAGAGAGAGTCTGCAATCTTTGGCTGTCCTTTGTAGCATACCAAAGGTGTCTTGTTTCTTCCACAAACTTGAATCACTTACGGAAAAACATTAGGACACAATTGGCACTCTCCTTCCTACCGATTTCAGCTTGCTGGTTGGGCCGTTTGCTAACACAGCTATCAAGCCGGCTTTAAAAGAAGCACCTACAGGGAGCACTAGAATGAGGGTACAGGATTTCTGCCAATGTCAGTCCTTTAAGAACACAGTGCAGTATTTATGGGGTTGACCCAGCAACCGGACTACTGTATGGGGAAATAAAGCCCAGCGGTCACAGTTGATCCTTTCCTGGGAGGACTTCAAGAGGCAACATTCTTCACCCTGGAGAAGAGGGAATATGCCTTGGGTCACTTGGCTGCAGGTCCCCTGGCTACATGAGCAGGATATTAAACCCTGGAAGCCCAGCACGAGGCAGAGCCTGGCCACTCTGAGTCAGAGAGCTGACTTCATGGGGTTTTGCTCAGTGAAGGGCGGAGGGACCAACTCTTCAGGGAGGTATGCTTTTCCAGGAGGAGTTCCAGAAGTCAATCCTCCACCCTGCCCCTTCTATTCCCCAAGGGTCACTCATCCGACAGTTTTTTTGATTTAAAGAAGCTGTTCTGGTCTCAACACCAGATGTAAGAAACCACATTATAGAAATATGTCTCAAGTACTGACTACTCCCTTTTTTCACGGAGTCATTTCCAGATGTGTGTCACTAAGCCCCTGGCTGATTCTACAGTTTTAGAACAGGAAAAAAATGCTTACTCTTGAGAGCTAAAAAAAAGTGAGAAATGAGTTTTTTAGGACAAGTTTTAAAATTTTTTACTTATTTGAAAGGCAGAGAGACAGAGAGAAAGATCTTCCATCTACTAGTTCAGTCCCCAAATGCCCCAATAGCTAGGGTTGGCCAGACCAAAGCCAGCAGCCTGGATCTCAATCTGGGTCTCCCATGTGGTTGGCAGGGACCAGGGACTTGATTCACTACTGCTGGCTCCCAGAGTGAACATTAGCAGTAAGCTGGCATGGACAGTAGAACTGAGACCTGAAGCCAGGCACTCCAATATGAGATGTGGAAGTCCCAAGCAGCAGCTCAAACACTGCCAAATTTCTATGCTGAAATTTCCTGTTTTTTAGACAGTCTCTTGATTAACATGTAACACTTGCATGTGTTTATGGGGTACAGTGAAATACTTCCACACCATGTACACGCTAGGCTGAGCAAATCAGACAATTAGCATTTCCAGTCCCTTCTCTACTCTTGGAAGCTTGGGACTCACAGGCTGGAACCTTACCAATTAGCAATGGCTGATTTTGTTTCCCCTTAAAGCGCATATCTAGTCCCACATTTTAAGTAGAGTAATTGCACCTCCACATGAGGGTTTTCTGCCTGTGATTCTAGTCCTCTACCTCTGGTAAGGTGCCTCTTACATTGTCAAGTAAGTGAAGAGCACAGTGAGGGATAGGGACAGAAGTTGCATTTGTTCAGGAATTGCTAGCATCTGCTGATCTCCACAATGTAAATATTCCCACCATGGCCAGTGTAATTTAAGACAATGAGAAAATAAAGGAATAAAGAAGCAACCAAATACACTAAGGATAAATTCCAATGAGACAAAATGAAAGTGAATCAACAAATAGTAAAAAAATCCACAGGATAAATATGTGAAAGAATATTGGCAAAAGGAATTTGAAACTCAAGGAAAAAGGAACATTGTAAGTAAATATTACGTTAACATCTATGTTTCGATTTTTATGAGATAATTCCTTTCTATTTATATCCACGCCCAAGTTATAATGATAACCCCGTTCTATGAAATGAGAGATGTTAAGAGGATAAGATCTCTGTTGATGCTCTATTGTATAACACCTCCTCTGAATCACTGCCGCGTACTACTTTTCACAGAGAGAAACTAATTAATATTCTAGAAAGTGGCACAACCACAGGCCAGATGAAACACACACAGTGTGGCTGTTATCACAGAAGTCCTATCCTAGGAAAAGTCCAGTTTCTTCTTGCTGGGCACTGTCTGTAGTCTCAGCTGGAAGATCAGTTTCCAATGTGCCCTGTAATACACCTGACATCACAGGACATGGCTACTGTACCATGCCTCACAGTAGTTCAGGGAATTTCCAATTAGAAAGCTGGATGTAATTAAACACATGATTCTAACTCATTCATCACTTAATAATTTAAGATAATTTAATTATTCAATTTAATTTACTTATTGAATTAAAATAATTTAGTAATTTAAAATAATTAAAAAATAAACACTTTATTTGAATTATGATGCCACTTCCACTGTAATTTTTTGCATACACATTCCTTTTTCTTTCTGTGAAAAGAACATAACATACAACTGTTAACTAAATAGATCCCTCATAATTGAAGTGTCTGCATATGAGACATCTCTGAATTAATCCTGACATGGTTATTCCATCATTAAAACAGGCAAGATTCCTTAACAGAGGGTAGGGCTGTGAAAAGCTACTAAGCAAATTCTCAGGCTGCTGCCTGGAAGTTAACCCTTTCAAAACTATGGTTTCTAATGCCGGCAAAATGACAATACCTCCACCCTGCCTAACTTACAGGATTGTTTCAGAATCTAAATGAGATATTTGTTAGCACTCTCACTTGGTAAAAACTGTAACAGGTGTGATGTTTTAGTAAAATCCCAAATCTCAGAACTTGTGTATTGAAAAAATATAAAGGACAACTCTGTCGTGCATTCTGGTGTTTGTTAAAAGCCCTGATGATATGCATTTCTTGTTAAGTGATATTTTTCATAAAGCGGGTTAGCAAAGAATCTTCCCTGGGTACTTACAGTTCCAGGGCGGGGATAAGGAATTCTGCCCTGATAGGAAATCAGCTGATGATTCGGCCCTTCTTTGTGGGCAAATGGCCCATTGAACACAGTCTGTATATCAGACAAGTGATACACACACACCGCGGAGCCTTTAAAAACCGAGCTAAAAAAAAAAAAGCAAGAAAGAGAAAAGAGTCCATTTTAGATTTTTAAATTTAAATCTAATTTTAAAGAAATGGATGGTAAAGATTATGATGACACGTTGTTAGTGGTAATGTACTGTATGCTTTTCTGAAAAAAAAAAAAAACTCGAATGATTTAGAATGAATTTACCATAAAGAAATGATAAATGTTGGAGGAGAGAGAACTGTTTACCCTTTTGGGAAATTGCATAACATACACAAGTATTGAAAATACTGCATGACCCCCCAAAATATGTACAAATGTATATGTCAGCTAACATTTTTGAACTTGATACAATTCATCATGGGGATGTTAACTGCTATGCTATGTTACATACATATAAAGTTGAACATGTCTGCTGTTTTGAAACAAAGCATTAGCACAAAATATTTAATTCCACCATGGAAGTAATAGACAAGAATTAATAACTTATAGAAAATTCTTCCCCACGTTTTGCAAAAGTAGGACGTCAAGGAAGTTTCTATCTAACTAGTTAACTTTAGCAACAACAAAAATTCATGTGTCATTTAAAATATCAATAAAATATGAATCTGAATTCCAGATCACTATCAATAGAGGCTATCATAATTTTACTCAAATTATGATACATACATAAGAGATCATAACTATTTTTTGATTCTTTTGATGTGAGAACTTTCTCACATGCTATCCTAAATGTTAGTTGGAAAAGTCTAAGCTATGATGGTTTATGTACTTTCCCTGTTAGTCATGGGGAAAAAGAGGTACAATAAAGATTCACTGAATTATCTGAATCAATAAGGTCTCATAAGTTTGCTTGAATCCTTTCTAAAAATTTTCTCAGTCACCACAGCAGATTGGCTGCAACATTTTCCTAATGGGAAAAGGTATTGCGTTCTCATGAAAGAAAACAAGGTATATTATCAATTTTAGTATTAAGAGTCAGAAATGGTAATTTTGGATTTTACACTAAAGCTATATCAACATTGAGAAAAATAGAGGCTAGAGAATATTTTTAACTGAAACCCACATTTTCTTCAGAATTTGGTTGTTTTTTTTTTCTCTCTCTCTTCAGTCCTTGGTGAATTAAATGAGGACTATTTTTTTTTTTTTTCCATTAGAATAGGAGTTACATATATCCTCATGGGCCTCATTTTAGACATCTTGTGGATCCAGTGTTATATGGCTGGAAGTCAACATCCCTGTCATTTCTATCACTTGGAAGAATTTATTGCGGTTTACAATTATACTGTGCTTTGCCCATTTAGACAAGAATGCTAAAACCTTCAGATTTTCATTATATAGTTGATCCTCTAAGAAAAGGATTGATCAAGTCACAGATGGAGAATTAGGCTGACTTCTAATAAGATTAATAAACAGAAATATGCACAGGAAAGAGTGCGAATTTGGTGACTTGTTTTGAAATATACAATAATAGGGATTGGAAATCCCAGAATAATTAGAAAACATTAAACCTATTTTCAAATATGTCACACTGTCAGAAGAGGAAAGACTGTTCAGGGTCTTGTTAGTTTCTAAAGTTATAATTTAAGATTGTTCCGCAAGTAAAAATTATATTTCAGCTTTACTGAAATATAATTATGTGCATAAATTGCATATAATTAATGTATATAATTTGATGAATTTGGACCTATGAGGATATTTCGAAAGTTAATGGAAAAATGATATTTAAAGACAAGTTTACTGTTGTGCAAATCTTCTGAAATCCACATATAGTTTTCCTATAAAATTCATTTTCTATGAACTTTTTAAGGACCCTGTGTGTGGATCACATTAGCATCTCTCACCACAATCCAGGTAGTAAACATTTCCATTACCTCTAACAATAACAAAAATGTCAAATGTTTTACTTAATAATGTTAATATGTTAAGGTTATTTTCTTGTAATGAATTATCTATTTTATTCTTGCATTGCAATTTATATTTTAATTTCTTTAAGAAAAATAGCACAGAATCATTACAAACACTCTGTACAAAACTTTTTTGAAAGTACTAGTTCAACTCAAATACAGTTCATTAATTTGGCCAAAGAAAATGGAAAATCTACATCCCAAACACTACTTAAGATTAAAAGTTGAGACAAAGAATTATTTCATAATGATTACTCTTACTCAATAAATTTTGTTACATAAGTTCATAAAATATAAATGTGTAAAAATTACCTTGATGTTGTAAAAATGCCATACACTAGTGTTGTCCTTGGATTCTCAGTTTCCAGGAGAAACACATCCTCTATAAAAGGGAAAAAACTCATTATTTCTAGTGTCCAAACATAAGCCTGTGCCCAAAGGACAAATACTCTATGTTTTCCCTGATATGTGGTAACTAATCGTGCACCTAAAAGGTAATCTATAGAAGTGAAATTGACATTTAGAAATGTGAAGACATTGAATAGACCTTGTCTCAAATGCTGAAGAACAGGTTTTTTTTTTTCCATACTATTTGTTGAACTCTTTACTTAGTACAGAGTTAGTCTTAAGTGTATAAAGTTAATTGAAAATAGATCTTAGTAAAAAATAAGCATGGGAATAGGAGAGGGAGGAGGAAGGGGGGGTGGGAGTGTGGGTGGGAAGAATCACACTGTTCCTAAAGTTGTATTTATAAAATGCATGAAGTTTCTATACCTTAAATAAAAGCTTTCTGGGAAAACAAATGAAAATCTTAAGAAAATACAATTTCAACTATGAAAAGTACTGTCCATAAAGCCATGATTGGAGCTTGACTGTGACTTTGCAACAGCTGAATGATAGGCATCTGCTAATTAAATAAAATGTTATACTGAGGGCTGGCCTTGTGGCACAGCAGATTGAGTTGCCACTTGCAAAACCAGCCTCGCATATCAGAGGGTCAATCCAAGTCCTAGCTGCTCTGCTTCCCATTCAGCTCCCTACTATTGGGCCTGGGAAGGCAGCAAAAGAAGGCCCAACTGCTTGGGCACCTGCAACCCATGTGGCAGACCCCAGTGGAGTTCCTGGTTCCTGCCTTCCATCTGCCCCATCGTTGGCTGCTGCAGTCACCCTGTTTATCCTTCAAATAAATAAATCAAGAAAGGAAGAATCTTTCTTAAAAAGAAAAAATATTATGTATATACCAATGGCTTTTATGAAGACCTTGTGTCTCTATGGAGGCCACACTGATGAAAAACTCATAAGTGGGAAAAAAAGCAGGATTATTTATAACACAGACTACAACAATGCAAGCCTTAAAATTATACACTGGGATACAAGAAAAAGATAAACTAGCTTGTTCCCAGGTAACAAAGCTGCAAAAACTTTCCTGCTTTGCCTTTGTCTGTATTTTCTAAATATACTTTAATGATAATATATTATCCATTTTTATTTAAAAATATAAAAAATATCCATTCCTTAGAAAGAAAGGGAGAGAGAGAGGGTATGAGTGAACCAGGGTGGGAGGAAGAGAATATCATTATTTCTTAGAACTGTATCCATGAACTATATTGAGTCTGTTCTCACTGCAATCATATCACATTAACATAAAAATTAAAAATGAATATATACATATATGCAAATATAAGCATATATATTTATGTATAAATTTCTTTTCTAGGGTTAGAATTTGAAATATGGAAAAGTTTTCTTTTAATATTTATTTTATTTATTCTAAAGGCAGAGTGACAGGGAGAGGAAAACAGAAAGAAAGGCATCTTCCATCCACCAGTTCATTCTTCAAATGGCCACAGTGGTTGGGCCTGGGCCTGAGCCTGGCCAAGGCCAGGAGCCAGGAAGTCCATCCAGGTCTCCCAAGTGGTGGCAGGGGCCCAAGTGCTTGGGCCATATTCTCTACTTTCCCAGACAGATTAACAGGAAGCTGGATGGGAAGCAGAGCAGCCAAGACTTGAACTGGCAGTGTGATATGGGATGCCGGCATTACAAGCGGTGGCTTAACCCCCTGCCCAACAACACTGGCCCTTAGAAAACTTTTTTTATAGTGATTTTTAACATAAAAAGACTGTATTCTAATGATTAAAATTATTAGAGATAATTTTTACTTAAGAAGTACTTCTTCCAGGAAAAAAATGTTTAAGCATATTAAGGCAAAGAGAAAAAGTAGCACAGAAAAGTGTAATACACAGAATAATATGAAAGCAGATTCATAATATAAAATCCTAATTATACATTCTGGTTATCAACCCTTTATCTGTTGCGTAGTTTGCAAATATTTTTTCCCATTCTGTCGGTTGCTTCACTCTCCTGTTTCTTTTGCAGTACAGAAATTTCTCAATTTGATGCAATCCCAATAGTTAATTTTGGCTTTGGCTGCCTGCACCTCCAGGGTCTTTTCTAGGAAGGCTTTGCCGGTACCTATATCTTGTAGGGTTTCTCCAATGCTCTCTAATAATTTGATGGTGTCAGGTCGTAGATTTAAGTCTTTAATCCATGTTGAGTGAATTTTTGTGTAAGGTGAAAGGTAGGGGTCTTGCTTCATGCTTCTGCACGTGGAAATCCAATTTTCCCAGCACCATTTATTGAATAGACTGTCCTTACTCCAGGGATTGGTTTTAGATCCTTGATCAAATATAAGTTGGCTGTAGATGTTTGGATTGATTACTGGTGTTTCTATTCTGTTCCACTGGTCTATCCATCTGTTTCTGTACCAGTACCATGCTGTTTTGATTACAACTGCCCTGTAGTATGTCCTGCAACCTGTGATGCCTCCGGCTTTGTTTTTGTTGTACAAGATTGCTTTAGCTATTCGAGGTCTCCTGTGTTTCCATATGAATTTCAGCAACATTTTTCTAGATCTGAGAAGAATGTCTTCAGTATTTTGATTGGTATTGCATTGAATCTGTAAATTGTTTTTAGGAGAATGGATATTTTGATGATATTGATTCTTCCAATCCACGAGCATGGAAGATTTTTCCATTTCTTGGTATCCTCTTCTATTTCTTTCTTTAAGGTTTTGTAATTTTCATCGTAGAGATCTTTAACGTCCTTGGTTAAGTTTATTCCAAGGTATTTGATTGTTTTTGTAGCTATTGTGAATGGGATTGATCTTAGAAGTTCTTCCTCAGCCATGGCATTGCCTGTGTATACAAAGGCTGTTGATTTTTGTGCATTGATTTTATATCCTGCTACTTTGCCAAACTCTTCTATGAGTTCCAATAGTCTCTTAGTAGAGTTCTTTGGGTCCCCTAAATAAAGAATCATATCATCTGCAAAGAGGGATAGTTTGAGTTCTTCCTTCCCAATTTGTATCCCTTTAATTTCTTTTTCTTGCCTAATAGCTCTGGCTAGAACCTCCAGAACTATATTGAATAGCAGTGGTGAGAGTGGGCATCCCTGTCTGGTACCAGATCTCAGTGGAAATGCTTCCAACTTTTCCCCATTCAATAGGATGTTGGCTGTGGGTTTTTCATAGATTGCTTTGATTGTATTGAGGAATGTTCCTTCCATACGCAGCTTGCTTAGAGTTTTCATCATGAAAGCGTGTTGTATTTTATCAAATGCTTTCTCTGCGTCTACTGAGATAATCATATGGTTTTCTTCTGCAGTCTGTTAATGTGGTGAGTCACATTGATTGATTTGCAAACATTGAACCATCCTTGCATGCCAGGGATAAATCCCACTTGGTCTGGGTGGATGATCTTTCTGATGTGTTGTTGAATTCTATTGGCCAGAATTTTATTGAAGATTTTTGCGTCTATGCTCATCAGGGATATTGGTCTGTAATTCTCTTTCAATGCTGCATCTTTTTCCAGCTTAGGAATTAAGGTGATGCTGGCTTCATAGAAAGAATTTGGGAGGATTCCCTCTTTTTTATTGTTCTGAATAGTTTGAGAAGAATTGGAGTTAGTTCTTCTTTAAATGTCTGGTAGAATTCAGCAGTGAATCCATCTGGTCCTGCTTTTCTTTGTTGTGAGGGCCTTTATTACTGTTTCAATTTCTGTCTCAGTTATGGGTCTGTTTAGGTTTTCGATGTCTTCCTGGTTCAATTTAGGTAGGTTGCATGTGTCCAGGAATCTATCCATTTCTGATAGATTTCCCTGTTTGCTGGCATACAGGTCCTTGTAGTAATTTCTGATGATTCTTTTTATTTCTGTAGTGTCTGTTGTTACGTTTCCTTTTTCATCTCTGATTTTATTGATTTGGGTCTTTCCTATTTCTAGTTAGTTGGGCCAATGTGGTGTCAATTTTGTTTATTTTTTCAAAAAAACAGCTCCTCATTTGGCTGATTTTTTGTAATTTTTTTTTTTGATTCAATCCTGTTGATTTCTTCTCTGATTCAAACAACACACTTAAGAGATGGGCCAAGGACCTCAATAGACATTCTTCAAAAAAGGAAATCCAAATGGCCAACAGACACATGAAAAAATGTTCAAGATCACTAGCAATCAGGGAAATGCAAATCAAAACCACAATGAGGTTTCACCTCACCCTGGTTAGAAAGGCTCACATACAGAAATCTACCAACAATAGATGCTGTAGAGGATGTGGGGAAAAAGGGACACTAACCCACTGTTGGTTGGAATGCAAACTGGTAAAGCCACTATGGAAGTCAGTTTGGAGATTCCTCAGAAACCTGAATATAACCCTACCATACAACCCAGCCACACCACTCCTTGGAATTTACCCAAAGGAAATTAAATTGGGAAACAAAAAAGCAGTCTGCACATTAATGTTTATTGCAGCTCAATTCACAATAGCTAAGACCTGGAACCAACCCAAATGCCCATTAACAGTAGACTGGGTAAAGAAATTATGGGACATGTACTCTATAGAAAACTATACAGCAGTAAAAAACAGTGAAATCCGGTCATTTGCAACAAGATGGAGGAATCTGGAAAACATTATGCTGAGTGAATTAAGCCAGTCCCAAAGGGACAAATATTATATGTTCTTCCTGATCAGCGACAACTAACTGAGCACCAAAGGGGAAACCTGTTGAAGTGAAATGGACACTATGAGAAACAGTGACTTGATCAGCTCTTGTCCTGACTGTTGATATACAATGTAATACTTTATCCATTTTAGTATTTTTTGTTGTTTTATTCTAGTACTATTGGTTGAACTCTGTAATTAACACACAATTATTGTTAGGTGTTTAAATTTTAACTGAAAAGTGATCCCTGTTAAATATAAGAGTGGGAATAAGAGAGGGAGGAGATGTACAATTTGGGACATGCTCAATTAGACTTGCCCCAAATGGTGGAGTTAGAAATGTGCCAGGGGATTCCAATACAATCCCATCAAGGTGGCATGTACCAATGCCATCTCACTAGTCCAAATGATCAATTTCTGTTCACAATTGATCACACTGATAGGTCTAAGAGTCAAAGGGATCACACAAACAAGACTAGTGTCTGCTAATACTAGCTGATAGAATTAAAAAGGAGAGAATGATCCATCATGGGAAGCGGGATACACAGCAGACTCATAGAAGGGCAGATGTCCTAAATAGCACTCTGGCCTCAGAATCAGCCCTTAAGGCATTCAGATATGGCTGAAGAGCCCATGAGAGTATTTCAGGCATGGAAAGCCAAGACACTCTGGGGAAAAAAAAAAGACCTAAATGGAAGATCTCTGCGAGTGAGATCCCAGTGCAAAGAACAGGGCCATCAAAAAAGGAGGCACCTTTCTTTGAAGGGAGGAGAGAACTTCCACTTTGACCATGACCCTGTCGGAATAAGATCGAAGTCGGTGAACTCAAAAGGCTTCCATAGCCTTGGCAACTCATGACTAGAGCCTACGGAGATTACTGATGCCATAAACAAGAGTGTCATATTGTTAAGTCAACCACAGTAGTCACTGTGTACTTACTCCTCATGTGGGATCTGTCCTTAGTGTGTTGTCCAATGTAAAGTAATGCTGTAACTAGTACTGAAACAGTAATTTATACTTTGTATTTCTGTGTGGGTGCAAACTGATGAAATCTTTACTTAATATATATAAATGGATCTTCTGTATATAAAGAGAATTGAAAATGAATCTTGGTGTGAATGGAAGGGGAGAGGGAGTGGGAGATGGGAGGGGTGCGAGTGGGAGGGAAATTATGGGCGGGGGAAGCCATTGTAATCCATAAACTGTACTTTGGAAATTTATATTTACTAAATAAAAAAATAAAAAAATCCTAATTAACAATCAATGGTCATTAATAACTGACTAATTAGCAATCTCAAAGGCACAGATCTAGTAATGATTTTACAAGTACACTTTTTGTCTAGGAGAACAAAGGCAGATGTATTTTTTTTAGGGTAGTGATGAATTTAGCCATAAATGAGTAACTGCTAGTCTTTTCCATATGTGCATAAAGGCTGACCAGGTATAGTTTTCCTAAAGAGTAAGAAAGATTGAAACATAAACACGCTTGCAAACAATCTGGGGGAACAAGTGAATGATCTGTCTATGTCACTTAGAAATGACACTTAGTTTTTCTCTAGAAAGGCTGATTCAGAAAATTTTTTTTACAAGATCAACCTACTGGCTTCTGAGACCTACTGCTTTAGGTTTATAACTGGCAGATACACCAAACCTCATACTGTCATGCAGTTTTACTGCTTACTGCATTGTCTGTCTCAAAATTTAAGAATAATCAGCATTTTACATGTTAATATATTACAACAAAAGCAAATCCTTTCTAAATAGATTAAAGCAAAAGGACAACCATTTCATAGTTAGCAACTGACACTCTGATACGTACCAAATGATTCTGATTAAATAGGATGCTCCTTGACAGAAAGGAATCTGCTTAGTGTTTATTTCACTTCAAACGAATAATCCTTATGACGTCACACTGTTAATACTTACTCCTAAATTCAACAAGCAGAACTAAAACAAGCCTTCTCATTTCTATTTTGATTCTTTTCCACCTGACCTCTATTTTTCCCTTAGTAGCAATAGTAAAAATAGCTGTTTTCTCATGCAAAGTGATTTCAAATCAGAATATTAGACAATCTAGTAGACATAAAATATGCACTTCATTTAAAAAGCACAAAAATATGGTCCCTTACATATAAATTATGTAATTACGTCTCCATCTTGGTCTCTCTCACACACACAAACATGCAATACACACCACACACTCTCTTCTCATTCATAGATCATGGTGAATTCAATTAACTAAATGTCTCAGCGGTATAATCAGGGGCAAAACAGGTTAAAAAATACCTGAGGAAATTTATGAACAGAATCTAGATCATTAATACAAATTGGTACATTATGTATGCTGAAAATTCCCATGGAAGGAGCCTTCTCCCCTGAGAGCTTATTAACATCCATAAACCTTCCACACTGTCCTTCGGAAACGTGTCTCAATGACACTTCTGCGTACCTAGTTCATCGAAGTGAGTTTCCGGGCCATCTTCGTCCGTCACTGAGCACACCAGCCTCGCTTTCAAGAAGGTGGTCCACTTATTCACCAGGCTGCGCAGCCCACCCGTGTCGTTCTGAAATCATTTGGCAAACATACTTTCAATTACTTAAACACAGACTGGGGTGCATTAAAAGTTCAACCTGGTCTTCTTTCACCTGGGGATTTTCTATACTCTAAAGACAGGAAACGTTAACCACATCTTCACTCCAATAGTTACAGAAGAATTGTTCAGATTTGTAGTATTTTATAAAGTGGCTATAGTTATCCAAGTTTTCTCTTCTGGTATGGTATCAGCTGGGAATCAATCAGTTTAATGCGTTCATGCCCTAAGTTCAACCATTCACAGTGCCAATGTTCATGAAATGCTGTGGAGGATAAAGAATTTAACTTGCCTTTTCTTGATAACTACTATCTTAAACATGACCAAAGCCCCCAGCAGTTCTATTCCCCCCTTTTACTTCTCTGCATTATCCTTTAAATTCCAATATCTCTGTTAACTATTGAACATATTCCTCTGGCCATGGAAGTAGGCATGACATTTAGTTCATTCACAGATTTTTTTTTTTTTTGACAGGCAGAGTTAGACAGTGAGAGAGACAGACAGAGAGAAAGGTCTTTCTTCTTTGGTTCACCCCTAAATGGCCGCTACGGATGGTGCACTGATCTGAAGCCAGGAGCAGGGTGCTTCCTCCTGGTCTCCAATGTGGGTGCAGGGCCCAAGCACTTGGGCCATCCTCCACTGCACTCCCGGATCACAGCAGAGAGCTGGACTGGAAGAGGAGCAACTGGGACAGAATCCAGTGCCCCAACCAGGACTAGAACCCGGGGTGCTGGTGCAGCAGGCAGAGGATTAGCCTATTGAGCCGCGGCGCCAGCGATCACAGATATTCTTTATTGATGACAACTTTTCCTTATGCATCCAGAGACATCTATCCTTTTTGTTGATTTTGATATCTTTTTCAAATGATGGAAAAAAAGATTAGCTCTGTGGTGAATGAGGTATTCTATTTAAAGAAAAACTATTCTCAGCACAGAACACTTTTACAAACTGTTTTCCACAAAGGATGCAAATACTAACGTCATCTTAAGTCCGTAAGACTCCCATATGGGAGAACATCAGGAATTTCTGTAGTTGCTATGTATACTGACTGCTTATACATTTACATGGCTCAACCTTTTGGTTACTCTTTATAATTGGGACAGTATTACTAAAACACTTAATTTTCACAAGAAAGTCCCTCGATGACTATCTTTTATCCAGATGTAGTTGTATTTTATTCAGAAGACCTTTTTTGTTTCTTTGAGTAATGTATAAATCACCTATCTGTCAATATCAAGGAATTAAATGGATATGCAAAACTAGCCAAACTCCTTATCAGCTTAAAATTACAACTAAAATGCTTCTTCAGGATTTTTACTAAAACTGGATGTGTTTATCTCACATGAGTGAGGAGAATGCATTTTGTGTTAACCATCTTTCTACCGTATTCAATTTATTTGTGATATTCAATAATAAAAGAAGATAAACTGTTATAAAAATATAGATTCCTATAGTTTAATTTGTTAGTCTGCTTTCAAAGTAGAACAGCACTCATACTTACAGGACAGATTCTTGCAATCATGGAATGAATCTGTTTTGTACTCCTGTTGTTGTCGGTTAGTTTCTCTTTGAAGAAGAAGTACACCTTAGCATCATTTGGATCGGTGCCATCAGGGATGACATGTGCGTCCACAAACATGGGTTCTAGAACAAAAGAGCAAGACTATCCTCATGATGAAGATCCATCCTCTGTTTCTCCAAGTAGACCCCAGGTACATCCATTCAAAACTTTGTAAAGAGGAGTAATTCAGCGCTCACAGGTAAAGTTTCTAAAAGCAAGATTTATAATCATCAACCCTGCCACATTTGGAATGTCAAGTACCACAAAGTAGAGCTATAAGATGAAAGTTTAAACTACGTTTTTCCATCTGCAGTACACTCTTGGAAGTGCAGGAAGTTAAAAAATTCTGTGTGCACTAATGAATTCTGGAAAAAAATGAAAAGCTTTCTACCAGTTATTTCCCATGGAATCTGATGGTTGCTTTATTGAAAAAAAAAATGTTTGTTTTTCTAAGTGTGGTTTTTAATCTAGTGCGCATAAACTCAAATTCACTGAAGCAGAATGTGGAATTGGGAATCCAAGATCTGAAAAACACATTTTTCTTAAAATACAGCAAATGAAATGAAGGGGAAACTTTTCAAGGAAAAAATGCAGTCATTTGAAGACATACAGAGTTTCCTTATTTGAAGAACAAAACAACTTTTAGAATCCTCTATTTCCAGACGTACTGGAAGAATCATTTGAAGAAGTAAATGGACAATCAGTGCTTTCTTGTGCCTGCCTATCAGTGAGGCAAGATATTTAACTGTGGTGAGTCATGCTGAACTGTGCAATGTGAAGTGAACTGCCGAGCTGAGGGTCAGCAGGGAATGTTCTCCAGGGTGAAATGACAAGGATCTTAGTCTGTTTCTTCAACAGCAACTGATGGGAATCAGAAGGCAAAATCAAGTGAACTCTGCTGTTGTTAAGCCCACATGAACACAGGAATTGAAAAATTTAATACCAATAATCATAAAGTTATCCTACCCATGATTTCTATTAAATATTAGTCAGATTATGAAAAATATACAACAGCTTTATCGTTTTAGAATCTATATGTAAAATAAATAGGAAGAATCCATGGATATAATCTATTCATTATTTCTTTTTTTTAGGATTTATTTTTTAAGATTTATTTATTTTTTTGAGTTACACAGAGAGAGGAGAGGCAGTGAGAGAGAGAAGTCTTCCATCTGCTGTTCACTCCCCAGTTGGCTGCAATGGCTGGAGCTGCGCCAATATGAAGCCAGGAGCCAGGAGCCTCTTCTGGTTGTTCTATGTGGGTGCAGGGGCCCAAGGACTTGGACCATCTTCCACTGCTCTCCCAGGACACAGCAGAGAGCTGGATTGGAAGTGGAGTTGAACCGGAGCTTATATGGCGCTACAGGCCAGAGCATTGACCCACTGCGCCACCACAGCATGGGCCCCAAGATGATGCTTATTTATAAATGATATAAATTTAGGAAAATTTCTAGATTTTTCCATTGCTTAAAAATGCAAGCACATTCAAAGATGTAAAATTAAATCTAGTTTTAACTTGTTGCAATTGGCAAAAATGCTTGGGTACTGTAATGCATAAATAATATAATTGTTACTTTTATTTATTCTATTCCTAGGAAGGTTGTGTGACAGTTAATCAAATAAAGAACTTGAATATTGGGTGGATATTTAGCCTAGAGGTTAATATGCCAATTAGATGCCTGGGTCCTGGGCCGGCCCCACCTGCAGTGCTGGCATCCAACATGGGTGGCCCATTCGAGTCCCAGCAGCTCCACTTCCAATCCAGCTCTCTGCTATGGCCTGGGAAATCAGTAAAAGATGGCTCAAGTGCTTGGGCTCCTGCACCCACATAGGAAGACCCAGAGGAAGCTCTTGGCTCCTGGCTTCGGATTGGCACAGTTCCAGCCGTTGTGGCCAATTGGAGAGTGAACCAGTGGATGGAAGACCTCTCTCTCTGCCTCTCCTTCCCTGTGTAACTATTTCAAATAAATAAATAAACCTCTTAAAAAAAAAAAGATGACTGAGTCGCACATGGGAATATCTGTATTCCATATATGACTCCAGCTTCCTCCTAATAAAGACCCTGAGTAGCAGTGGTCATGGCCCAAGTACTGAGTTCTTGCCATCCACATGGGAGATTTGGACTGAGTTTTTGGCTTCCAGCTTCAGTCCTGGCCACTGTGGGCAGTTGGGGAGTGAATCAGGAGATGGGAGCTCTCTCTAATAAATAGTTTTAAAAATTGGAATATGAAATATGAGGCATTTCATTTATTTATATTAAATATTTTAAATTATAGAGCACAGAGTTATCATTACTCATGTCATGGCCAGATATTAAGTTTTTACTGTGCTTTCCTTCTGTCATTCTGGAATTAAACATTAAAGTAGGATACTACAAAGAATGTATAAAATGTTTTCTTACCACTTAGCCACTTGGAATTGTGCTGATCAGTTCTGACAGCATTTCTCTTGGTTAAACTTCGAAAAATGGCAGCATCCGTACCCATGAAATCTATGTACATCCCAGAGAAAAGCTCCTCGTCTATGACAAAGAAAATATCAACAGAAATTTTAAGATTTTTAAAGGTATTTTAATATTCAGGGAGAATGTATTTATTATTAGATCATGACACATAGTACAGAGTGTTTGGAATTGTTAATTAGTTTGTAATTACTTTGCATTGCCCACCAACCAACTACTGGATAACTTTTTTCTGGTCTCATTATCTCTGATTACACACACACACACACAAAGGTACTTCCAAAAGCTTGTGGGAAATGGAATTAAGTGATGCTTGTTTTGATGCAAAAAAAAGTCTGAAATCCATGCATAAGAGGAAGTCTTTAAAAAGTTCATGAAAATACACATTATGAATTTAGAAATGGATTAAGAAATATTTTTGCAAATTGTAAGCTTACCTTTCTATTTCATTTTTCTATAAGAATTCTGAAGTACTCTTATGCAGGAGTATAACTTTAAATGTTTCAGTAAGCTTTTTAAAAAAGATTCTTTTTTTTTTTTTTTTTTTTTTTTTGACAGGCAAGAGTTAGACAATGAGAGAGACAGAGAGAAAGGTCTTCCTTCCATTGGTTCACCCCCCAAATGGCCGCTGCGGCCAGCGCACTGCGCCGATCCTAAGCCAGGAGCCAGGTGCTTCCTCCTGGTCTCCCATGCAGGTGCAGGGCCCAAGGACTTGGGCCATCCTCCACTGCACTCCCGGGCCACAGCAGAGAGCTGGACTGGAAGAAGAGCAACCAGGACAGAATCCGGCGCCCCGACCGGGACTAGAACTCGGTGTGCCGGCACCGCAGACGGAGGATTAGCCTAGTGAGCCACAGCGCTGGCTAAAAAGATTCATTTTTAACTATCTTTATATACAGAAGATCAACTTAGTATATATTAAGTAAAGATTTCAACAGTTTGCACCTACATAGATACACAAAGTATAAAATACTGTTTGAATACTAGTTTTACAAATGAATCTTAATGAGGGGTGGGATGGGAGAGGAAGTGGGAGATTGGATAGTTGCTGGTGGGAGGGAGGTTATGGGGGGGGAACCACTATAATCCAAAAGTTGTAATTTTGAAATTTATATTTATTAAATAAAAGTTTAAAAAAAATGTATCCTTAAAAATGGCGGAGAGTTTCAAGTGTTACAGCACATAAAAATATAATAAATATGTGAGTTAATGCATAAAAAAGATTTATTTATTTATTTGAATGAGAATGACAGAGAGGGAGAGGCAGAGACAGAGAAAGATCTTCAACCTGCTGGTTCACTCTCCAAATGACTGCAATGGCTGGGCTTAGGCTGGGCTGAAGCCGGAAGCCTGAAACTTCATCCCATTTTCACATATGGGTTGGAGTGGCACATGCAGTTGGCCATCTTCAGCTGCTTTCCTAGAAGCATTGGGAGAGCTCTAGACTTGAACTGGCACTCACATGGAATGCCAGGGTCATAGGCTGAGGCTTAACCTGTGTTGCCACAGTGCCAGCCCCAATGATTGATAGTATTTTGTCAATTTTAATGTGGCCTACATTCATGAAATAACAATAAAAAAAACTGTGAGGCTGCTGTGGTGACGAAGTGGGTGAAGCTGCCTCCTGCAGCGCTGGCATCCTATATGGGCACCCGTTTGAGTCCTGGCTGCTCCACTTCCAATCCAGCTCTCTACTAATGGCTTGGGAAAACAGTGGAAGATAGTCCAAGTGCTTGAGTCCCTGTGCCCATGTGGGAGAATCAGAATAAACTGCTGGCTCCTGGCTTCAGATTGGCCCAACTCAGGCTGTTATGGGCATTTGGGGAGTAAACAAGAAGATGGAAGACCTCTCTTTGTCTCTGACTGCCTGTCTCTCTCTCTCCTCCCTCCCTCCCTCCCTCCCTCCCTCTCTCTCTCTCTCTCTCTCTCTCTCTGTAACTCTCCCTTTCAAAGAAATAAGTAAACCTTTAAAAAAAAACCTGCTATGTTCAATCAGTTCGGTAACATCACAGAATTTTTAAGATGTGATTAGAACTTTGTGATCACAGTTTAATTCTCATATTTGACATATGAGAAGACTAAGAATCAGGTTGTTAAAGGACTTAGCCTTGATTCCCAGCTTTTTAGTGACTTTTAAAATTTGAAACCAATTTTCTGTTTCTTATAGTGTTTATGAAAAGAAAATTATTAAGCTCTTTTATTATCTTGTACGTACTGCTATTTCTGATACACATTATATAAAATGCATTTATCATAATTAAGTACTGATAAAAGAATTTTAGTTGCACACAGAGTGCAGTTCACTGGGTGTTTGATTTGTATGTGAGAAGAAAATATATTAAAAATTAAAATGAGTTATCATTATTAGCAGCTGAATCAGATATTTCAACTTGCATACCAGAGTCTTCAAAAGTTTATCATATTATGAAAAAGTACACATGGATTTCAAATTTTTTTACCCAAATAAACTTATTTTTTTCTTTTCATTTGCCATGAATTGTTAAATAACCCATGTATATATAACATTAGACAGTGAGTTTTGAAGATCCCTATGACTTTCCAACCTAGTTAAAGAGCAGTAAGTGTTGAACTGGTAAAAGGCAACACGATGTGTCCCTTGAGCATAAAACAGTGGCTAGATATCTACTTAGAAAGAAGAAAATTTATTAGCTCTAGCCTACTGAAGTGCCATGCAGCTGTGTTCTTTGACTGATGTTCCCGGATTACTCTCCTGGCTCCCTTCAGACTGTGGTCACTTGGCAGGGCGGGGACATTCTGAAGCATGCTAAGCTCTCTGTGTAGTAATAAGGAATACAAGTTGGCCCAGGATAGAATGAAGAATGGCATGCTTCTAATATGTGCTCACCAGGTTATGAACTGGACCCCCCACGAGTTAGAGAGCTGGAGAGGCAGCCTTGTGTCGCCCAGCTCCCCTGCCTAGTCGGGGTCCGGAGCCCATGAAAATAGATGACGGGGAGAGAACAAAAATGTGCAGGAAGGCATCTTTGAGAGGCCTGGCTTCTCTAGAATTCTGTCAACATTTTTGAATTACATAGACACGGAGATTTTGCTGCTGCACTGTGATAACTTTGCAATTATTTATTTCACGTTTGTTATACTGAAGAACCATAAAACTATATACATTATACATTCCTATTGTACAACAGATTGATTAGCATAGCTATCAATGATCACATCTGTTTCCAAGACAGAAGAGAAAAAAGATACTGAGAGCTTGGTGAGTGGCAGACAGGGATAACTCTCTGCCTACCACATATGTATGCTGTACACATTACACAATTGAATGTCACCTTCTGAGGTATGTGGCGAGAATTACACAAGCCTTCATGGGTGTCTTTTACTCTGTTAACTACTGAGTTTAAGTGAAAGAAGTTCTACTTTATTTTCCATCAGTGGAAAATAATTAATGTCACTTGGAAGAAGAATTTTATTTGAGAAGATGGATATTTTTGTCAGGGTTTTATGGAAAGACAAACTTGCCCCTTTCAACTTTAATTCAAACATATTGCCTTTGCCAATTTTACTTCCCATGACCAGAAAAGCTTCATGAGGTTTATGATAGGTTCTTTAAAAGATGACATATGACTTTGGTGTCTTACAATAATAGCTAATTTTAGAAAAGAATGCAGAATTGCACATTGGACAGCACAAGTACATTATGAAATTTAGAATTCTTTTAATTCCTAATGTTCTTGGCATTAAATAGCTGTAAATATTTTAACCAATCTGTGTTATTTAATATATTCCAATGGAAGTGATAAAGCACTATGATATGACAAAGTGAGTTGATCAGAGGAATTTTTGAAGATAGCAAAATAATAGATGGTAAAGATAGTAAAATAGCAAACACAAGCTTATAATAAATATAATCATAGACTCTAATTTTTTGCAGCTTTTAAATCGAGCAAATTACTTTAGGACTTTGTTTGACATACAAATTGTAAATGTTAATCCAAATAACAAAACACAGTATAGGAATATGAGCAAAGGAATTCAAGTCTCCAGTCTTTGAAAAAATCAAGAAAGTCAATTTCTAATTCCCATTTTGTAAACAAATCTAATTCTCTAAGGCCACACAAATTAAACAAATTATGACAGTTTAGTTAGAAAACATTTTATGACTTGTTCTAACCCTTTTTATTTCAGACAATATCCAGTAAGATAAAACCCCAGTACAGCTATGTTAAGAGATATCTGAAGTTTATTTCTATAGCATTTAACTGCAATAAATGAAGACTATATAAATGTAATGACTTTCCAAAACACTGCTTCTATTCAATAATAGTCAAAAATATTCAAAAATAATGATATTCAAAAATCAGACAAAATTGGATGGCTTGCGTTTCCCAGGCTTTCTCTACTTTGTATCCTAACGGTATTCTTTTGAAGTAATGACTGGATCACCTCCAAACTCATATTTACTTAGTACTAGGTGAACCTGTCTTAACTTACTTTCCAGACATGAGAAAGATGAGTTGCCTATTTAAATGAACTGAGCAAGTATTCTATGCACAGTAATTATTTCTCCTCTTTTCTGTTTTCTACGGATGAAATTTAACTATTGGCCACACATAGAGAATGGAAAAAGCATCTAGTACACGTTTGACATGATGAAATCCAAGGTTTGTCTCCAGAGGAAACCACAGTAACAGAATTTTTTCAAAAGTACCTTAATTAATCAAAAGAGAGCATCTTCCAAGTGAGGCACAGAAAGGCAACCAATGATAGAGGTTCAAAAATAATTCTTTTACTGAATGTATTAGCAAGCAGTTGGACCTGTTGCTTAACTAGTATTGTATGGAAAGTGTGAAAAATGCAAAAGGAGCTTTATTATTGCCTCCTTGTAGTATAGTAACTTGTAGACACTCCACAGAGAAAGCACTTAGCAAACACATGCACTTTGAATTGTATAAATGATTACTAAAACATGAAGAATAGTGAGTGTACTTAGAAGACAAACAGCTACTTATAGCACTGAAAATCACTTTATATATTTAGTGATACATACATTTTTTGGAAATAGTTGATACGCTCTGGGAATGGCAGAATGGACATGTTAGCTGAAAATATATCCGCATATAACTTAATCAGGAATTCTTGAAAGTGAGAAATTAAGTTCCCTATTTCTTAGCTCCTCAAATTCTTCCAATTATTGTATCCATGTAGTACCAGCCATGCAATCCCTTAAATGGCCACATCACATTGTATTCATTTTCTTTGCTATTTTCCATTCCCTCCTCCTTTTATGTGCTACTTACTGATCATAACAGAGACCGTGTTCACATTGGGGTTGAAAGAGCAGCGGCCTTTTCCAGATTCACACTTGGAGTCAATCATGAAAACTTGGTCCTTTATTGTAGACACAATTAAAAATATGGTTAACGATGACACACGTAAACAACCATTCTTTAGTGAAATAAAGCATCCTCAAAAATAGTATGCATTTGGCTGCTTACAAATTCCCAATTTGCTATATTAAGACATGTGTCCCATAAAAAGAATCACTTGTAAATTATAAGCGAACCTCACTAGTCCCAGCTCTCATCCTATTATATTCCCCATACAGGTGACCCAAGAATGAGTTCTCTCCAAATCAACATCAACAAAAATCACTCAAAATAAAGTACAATTATAAATCTGAACTAGATGTGTTGAACATTGGCCAAAAGAATAAAAGTGTTTACAGAAGAACAATGTCTATAAGGACTATATTCACAGAATAATCAAGACAGTTTATAAAAATTTTTGTAACTGCTTAATTCTGTTATATAATGCATTATACAAGATTCAACAAAGCAATCCATAATTTGGATTAAAATGTGTCATTTACTCATTTAACAAAAATTTATTGAGCATCTATCATATGTCAAATTATGACTTGACAGTAAAGAAAATACACATTTTTATCCTCAAATAATTTATAATCTAATGAGGAAGGGAGAAAATATATAGAGTAAGTTGAGTATAGAGTATAATACATGATGTTTGGTCCTTACAGAGACTTTAAACAAAAAAAGGGGGAGAGAGAAGGCCAAAGATTAAGGGAACTGAGTTTAATGTGAAATATGGGAATCAGCATATTCTAACCAAGAGGGGATATCCTCTGGGTGTAAGTATTTATCTTTTTCTTACAGAAAATTACTAAAAGATGCTTCTAAAATTCAAAGGAAGTAAAGACTTTTCTTCAGGTTGCATTAAATAATAGAAGGTCTAAATTGTCAAGGGAAGGTTTTAGAATTATCTGGAAAGAGATGTGGACACATTAATATTTTTCAGTGTAAAACAAAGGAATCATAAGTCTAAGGAAGTTTCATCTCATCTTGAGAGTTGGTGTATTGGGAATGGAATGTTTCAAAACACACACTGAGTCCTGGAGAACAGGTGAGTTTTCTATTGCCATAGTCCAGGAGTCAGGTAATAACAACTTGGCCTGCCAGCATCTCGGTGGTCATGGTGAGAACAATAGATATGTGAGAGATTTGGTTGTGAAAATCAACAGAGCCTGTCACGTGACTAGAAATTGGTTGCAGTTCAGGAAGATGAAGGTAACAAAGGTGATTCTGAAGTTCTGACTGCTTGGAGAAACTGAAACTAAAACTAGCTCAACGTTTGTTATACAAGTACTGAGTCTGAGGTACTGCAGGCCATTTCTGAGACACTAGGGAATTATAGGCTTAAAAATAATGCCAGTCCTCTAGCCAGAGAAAGTTCTACAGCACACGATCCTCCTCAGCAAATTCTCTGTATAGACAAGGAAACTAAGGCTTGGCCAGGACCATGTAGCTGAAGGGTGGCAAAAACACAATTCAAATTCTATCCCCTAATCCCTACCCATGGGTGCTTTCCAAAAGGTCTTCATTTGTGAGGTGACTATACTAACTAAATAATTACAAACATGAGGAAAAACAATAAAAAGATCAGTAAGCCCAGTAGTGATGTAAAAGCCAGTTAGGGATTTGACTATACGTGACTGCATGATGAGATGGTTATGTACCATCTGTTCTCTTTCTCCAGTGCACAGAACCCTCATATTTCCCAGTGACTGACCTCCAGCATAGCTGTGATCCACCTTAACAATCACTCATTCAAGTATCCTGAAATAATTCTTTACACTCCTCTCCTAAGAACCCTTCTATACTCTTCTACAGTTCATCAGCCTCTTCTGTTCTTGACTTTATTAACAATTTGAGATCACAAGTTTTAATTTCAGTAATTTTTGCCAAAAATTAACCCTTAACTCATGTTTTCAATTCTGCAAATACTTTCACATAATATTTATTCCAATGTTGCCACAAGTGGCATATTTATTGCTTAAGTCTTTATAGGTATCTCATAAATGAGCCTTGAATCTGTGAATTTTTACTGCATCCACACTCTGGAAGGACATATCTACCTATGTTCTCTAAGCTGGCCTCCAAAATACTAAGCATTTTTTCAGCAAGTAACCCTAAAAGGTCAATTCAAGATACTATAAAGTTGTGCTCACCAACTGAAAATAGACCCTCTATGCTTCTCAGAACCATCTCAAATATGTTTTTTGTCAACTAGTTCTGCTGTCAACTATTTTAAGCCATGGCATGGGTCTTTGGCTAGGCAATTAAGACACCACTTGGAATGCCTACATTCCATATCAGAGTGCCTAGGTTTGAATCCTGGTTGTGTTGTTGTTTCCAGCTTCCTATCAATGTTTCCCCTGTAAGATAGCAAGTGATGCTCAGGTATAGGGTTCCTGCCATCTGAGTGGGTGGCCTGCATTGGATACACGGCTTCCAGCTTCAGTGTGGCCCTGCCCTGCCAATGTGGGCATTTGAGGAGTGGTCAGATAGATAAGATATTGCTCTCTCTTTGTGTGTGCATTGCAAATAAGTGGTTAAATAAATGTCTAAATATTTTAAACAATTTTTAAGGCTTTGTCACTACAGTCAAATCTCATTTTGTCTTATCTCCTAACATTCTCTCACCTCATTTTATTGCCAATTACATTATAGAAAAACAAAGCCCTCTGCTGACACATCTTCAACTTCTCCCCATCAAATATATAAATAACATACATAGGGAAATACATACAATAATACATATAGTCATACATAAGAAGAAATATTTCCATTACTTTGAGGCCAATTATTCAACCAATAGTTTGGGTTTCATCCTGTCCAGACTCCTTCAGCACCATACACTCTTCTTTTGTTATCTCTTTGCCTTCTCTGTTCTTTTGACTTACACTTTCATCTTATTCACAGGATCATTTACACCATTAAATTGCCCCTTCTGCTTCCACAAACCACTACCCTTGGGAACCATATTTCTCAAAGTATTATATAAATACTCATCACTAATTTATGACTCTTCATTCTATCGCCAACCCACTTTTACTGGGCATTCAACCTCAATTGTTCTACTGAAACACTTTTTAATTAGACCTTTAATGAAAATCAAAGTGCACAATTCAGTGTTTATTTTTTAGACTTCATCTTACTTGGATTCTCACTGACATTCAGAAGTTGGTAACCACTTCCATATTTCTAAAAGGACTGATTTTATTGCAAGAAACAGCACTTCTTATTTACTTTCATCCCTATTTATTTCTCTGACTCTTTTCTGTCTTATTTGCAAGTCTCTTTTCTTCCATCTGGTCCATACAGTTAGGAGATCCTCAAATCTTTGTCTTAGTCTCTCTATTCTCTGCGCGATTAAACTCATGCTTTTAGGGGGCTCCTGTTACTCTTATTAAACAGTAAATCATAATACCAGGCTTATATTCAACTGCATACTTGATTTGAAATGGATTCTACAATGGTGTCTCAGACTCAGTAGACCAAATGCAGGCTTGATCCCAAACATGTACTTTTCATCTCACTTTAGGACAATTATATAAGTGAAGAAGCTAAAATTAACAAACTGTCAATAGTGTGGGAAATTAGAAAAGAAAACATAACAAAGTGTTCAGTGGTCAAAGATGTCAATAGTGGTATTGAAAAACAGAGAGCATGACCAATAGAGTTTAATGGTAGAGATGGACCTAAGACAAAGCATACTGATTGAGGTATTCAAGTTGTTTAGTAAGGAAATTTGACCATTACATTGACACTCTTAGTTATATGTGGGAGTGAAAGATTAGGAAGATTTAATAAAGACATGGAGAACAGTAGCACAAAAGCTGGAAACACAGAGCTACTAGTAAGGGTAGCTTCATAATGAAGAAAGAGTTGAAAAAGAGTCATAAAACCAAGACAGTGATTTTTAAAGAAATGAAATAATTCTGTTTATAAACTAGGAAAATTAAAAGCCAAAAGCTGGGGGGAAAGACATGAAGTTAAAAAACAGAGTGAGGAAAGTCGTTGTCAAAGAACTTTATTGATGAGAAAAATGGCCCATTCTTAAACAGTAGGGAAGCTTAGAAAGATGCTGAAATAGATGAGTTCATTGTCTGAAAGAAAGAAAGAAAGAATGAACGAACGAACGAACAAACGAACAAGGGATAATGTGGATGCCTGTGATACTCTTAGTCACCTGTGGTATTGTTGGCCAGGCAAAGGTAAAGATGTCTACCTGATGAATGGCAGTGGCAGGGGCTTACGTATTATTCCCCAGTTGAAAAAGATGTTACAGAGAAAGCTTATGAAATCAACCAGCGAACAGATATTATAATATTCCAAAAACTGCAGTAAAATTGACCAATCCTCTCTCTTTTTTTTATTTTTTTCATAAGTTTGAGGTCATGATTTAGGTGTGTCACCTTATCATTTAAAAAAATACTGAATTACTTGAAAGAGAGGGAGACAAACAGAGTTCCCATCTGCTGGCTCAGTCTGAAAATGCCATGGTAGCTGGTGGGTTCAAGCCAGGACAGTGGAAGGGATCCAAATATTTGAAAGATCATTGCTTCTTTTTAGAGTCTGCGTTGGCAGGAAGCTGAAGTAAGGAGCTGGAGCCTGATTTGAATCTGAGTAGTTCAGACAAGGGTCTGTTTACTGGCACCTCAACCACTAGGCTAAAGTCCTCCCAGGGATGCTTTATTGTTTTCTAGGAACAAAAGATAGGGAGGCAAGATGGCTAGAGAAGGATCACAATTAGGTCTTGATGTAGAAAGGATTCTAGATCTTTCAGATGAACACTATCAAAATGTCCTAGGGAACCTCTGAATCAATCTTACAACATGATGGAAGAGAAACAGTGTTTAATGAAAGTGTGTGATGCTCCAACAGTGAAGTAGGCTCATAAAATATTCTCCTAGAACCATTGAATGTCTATGAGTATAGGCAAAGGCAAGATGGCAAGTAAGGTTTCAGAAATTCAATGGGATAATTAATGACTGCACCAACCTAACCTGTTTCACTTCCAGATTGTTTTTTCAATATTTGACATATGTCATATCTTAATATTAACACAGGGATTTAATGAGAATACTATCTCTTATCATTACCAAAAACAATATTAGAGATGATGAAGAAGAGCAATTTGCTCAATATCAAACTTTCTTCATTATGCAGCCATTTTACTAACGTGGGTCTTTGACCCCATGAACACATTAGATGTTGGATAAAATATTCAGTTCTGTATTACATTATGGCTTGCATATTATACACATAAGGATGATGTCACGGTAAAACTCTTGAATTGGAGTTGACTATCAAGGGAAACACATGAAGCTTAAAAATCATAACCCTTTTCATATCTAAATTGGCTCTTAAGATGGTCACATATTATGTAAGAGATGAAATTAATTAATGAAAATGCTTCCCCCTTTGAAAAATCTCTTTTGAAGTGAGACCAACATAGTTCATATTTAGCTAGGTGATTAAAATTTATTCCATGCTGGTTTTCCAAAGGAGATTATTTTTTTGGACAGACTTTCCAATTAAGGCTTCAAGTGCATGGTGGGCAATTTGTACATGGGAAAATGATTTTATTGGAAATCTGTGTTCTGAAAACTGCTATGCTATTGTTGGCATGTACGGTGACTGCACAGACTTCAGGGGAGTGTCTGACAGATTGCAGACGTCTGAGGCAGTAGTTTATTTAATCAATTGATCACAGGCATGTGGTTCTAATGACAAGCTCAATGTGGCCATCTGTATTCTTCCAAGAAGCATAACTTTGCTTTTTCCTTCAAGCATTTTAATATATCATAGCTCATGGGGTCAAATCATAATTGCTTGGTTATTTTTAAATGGCTTTTTATTCATCAGAAGGTATATATATGTAATTTACATGTCTGAAATGATAGAAATTTAATAATGAAGGAATAGAGAAGGAATCAGTGTTCAATTATATTAGTACCAAAGTATATTAATTTTTGTTAAAGGAAAATAAACTTTCTAAGGCTTATGACTAGCAATATTCTATCTTTTTCACAATTCTAATCTCTGAAATTGAATTAGGTCTTTAAGAACTGGACTTTCTAGATTTAAGTTGCATAATGAAACCAAACAGTGATAGCTTGAAATGATTCAGTTTTAAAAATAATCATATCAAGTAAAACAACACATTTGACCAAAAGAATGAGAAAAAATTTTGGGCTAATGCATGGTTTCCTTACTCAACAATGGTGGATGGGGATAATAAACACAATGTTAAATACCACAGTTGAAATTCAACCAATCTTATATTTGACTTTGCATTAGCTGTGTATTTGTTTAGTCTTTAGCAAACATTGTATCACAATATCCCTTATCATTTTAAGTCATGTACAAGTGAGGCTAAAATAGCCTCATGTAGGGTGATGTTAGTCTACATGAAAGGATGATTTATTAGTTATATAAGTATATAATTTATCAATTATATAAAGCTGTTTTCAGCAAAGATATATGGCATCCTGCTTTGTACATATTTTATAGCTACATGTCTCACAAAGGCTTACCAAATTTGAAAAATGAATATGAAATTTCTTAAAGCAGATTTTAGAAGGTAAGTTTATACTATAAATTTCTATCATTTGGAGCAAATTATTAGTGGAAGATAAAAGGATATAATTAGGAACCTGGCACACAGGATCAAAACCTTAATTTTAAGAGGCATGCAAATATTTTGTGAATTTTGATGATATTTACAAGGTTTTCTCTCAAATAAAATTTTAAAAATCTTTGATACTCACACCAAAACTAACTAAGAGTGTGAGGTTGTTATACTTACCTCCGACCTCCTCCCTCTGTTCAAGTAAGTACAGACTGGGCTGAAGGCACCGCTCCCGCAGACGTACAAATGGGTGCGATTGAAAGTCTGAATGACACGGACAAAGTTCCCACAGCCATGCTGAAAGAATTGGCAAAGAGGTAGTCAGCAACTCCATATGTTTTATTGTAATTTATGCTGATCTATATTAATATGAGATTTTATATGAAAGGTAAGAATGATGTGGCATAAGGTCTGGATAGTTCTATATCTTTGAGAAACTACATGTGTGTCTCACAAAGGTAACATGAAAACAAGCACCTAACCTATAGAGGCACTAAATCAGATATTCAGATTTGGTGCCACTGAAGAAAAACTGCCACTCAACAGACATTTACTAAGCACCTGTCATATGCTAGGTTCTAGTCTCACCTTTCAGGCATCCTCGCTGACTGAAACATACAAAAATCAGTCTTTGCAGAGTTCAGTTGGACAAAGTGGCCAATTGTGCTCCAGTTCTGCTATTTCTGCCTACATTTTTCTAATTAACACATTTATCAATTGTATACATGCCAATGCAAAGTGAGGATTATTTAATGATACTTTGCTATATGCTTTTCTTTCTGACCTTTCTTATTGTTATATTGTTATTGTTAGGAGATATTAGGGTAGTACTAGAAGAACAATATGGTCATTTATTGATTTATTCCAGGAGGAAGGTAGTCTACCTCCGATAGCAAATAAAATGACCTGTCATAGTGTATTTCAATGTTTTACACACTGTGTAAGGCAAGGCTGTCATTTATTTGCTCAAGGAAATACAAAACAATTAGCATAATTTTTTTTTAATTTTTTTTTTTGACCGTCACCTGGCAGGAATACATAACATCTCTGTGACCCAATGAATCATTGAATGTTCTGTCTTTGCTGGGTTTGCAATCCTTTGCTGATTATAAATGAATCCAGCCCAAGATTAAATTTTGTTCTCTTCACAGAGTCGTTTTTCTCTCAAGGAATATTTTTTTAAAATAATTTCATAAATTAGAGACAAAACATATTTTTATAAAAGATTATAAAGAAATATATTAAAAATCAACAGTAACTTTTCCCCTGGGTGGTCAAACAACAGATGTGACCAGGTAGCATGTCCCCCATTTTTCATAATGCACATCTATTATTTATAGTATTGGAAAAGCAAAACTAAACAAACTTGGCTAGAAGTTAACTTTCAATGAAAGTCCATATTATTTCAGTATTTTTCAACTGTTTCTCCATTTATATTCATTATTACTTGTCAGGAAATATTAGCTTCATTTCATACAAAGTAATTTATACAGATGTTTCTACTGTAGATTTTTATTATCAAATAATAAATCATTAACTCTGCTGTCAAAGAAATTAATCCTTACTGACCAGACTATACATTTCATTTTTCTGTTAAGACATTAAGGATTTGTGTTAATATACTGTGTTGCTGTTCCTTGACACCTGTTTACATAGGTACTTGAGAACTGATTCCAAAGCTGCAGATGATTACATGTTCTCTGAAGAAGAGCATGGGAGAAGGACGGTGTGCATGTAGTGTGTGTGTTAAAGGAATCCGTGAGCTCTAAGGCCTGCGCCTATTGTTTTTTCCAGTTAAGTCTAGTTCTTCTGGGAATCTGTATCAAATATGTTTTCATAAGGCTCAGACTCAATCCAATCCTATTAATAACAGGTTAGGTCAGTCTCATCTTGGGTTTGTAGACCGTTTACTGTAATGAATTACTGGCATTTGTAAAAAGAAAGAAATCAGTAACATCTCGTCTTTATTCCCAAAACACTTCAGAATGGTTTCATGTATCTATTTCTATTTATCTACTTATTGTGGATAATATTTATTGGGTGCATTAAGTACTGGATATCTAAATAATCAAAATACATATTCCCAGGAGGTATGAGTTTCTCCTTAGAGTGGACATTTATTGAATACTTACTATATGCTACTTAGGTACTTCACACGCATTCATTCAATTTTTCACAACTCAGCCCCCCTTTAAGTAAAATAAAGCTTATATCCAAGGCCTCATAGGTAAAAACTGAAAGCAGATTTTCCAACATGTGTATGTCTAACATTAAATCCTGTACATTTAGCAACTTTATAATTTGTCATTTGGTGAGGAATCCATACTTTTTATTACAGAAGTTATTCATATCTACATAACTTTGTGTAGTCTTACAGTAGTTACTAACATTTACAGAGTTCATCAATCCTTTGATGTGGGTTTCTTTAATTCTCACAGAAATGCTCAAGTTTACTAGTGTCCTGTCTGAGTGATTAAAACTAGTGTCCTGTTTTAGTGATTAAAATATGGATGGGTGGCAGAAGCTGTAGATTTAATAAGTAACTGAACTGGGACTTGAACATGGCCATGCCATCTTTGTGGGAGAATTTGATTAGAAATGAATAGATTCCCATGCTGTCTGATCCTTAGTGCTCCCCTCCTCCACCCCTGCCCACATGCAAGAACACAAATGGGAAAAATTAATCTGGTTCAGTTAATTATTAGAACTCAATACCTTGGTCCTTCCCATTCTCCTTGTGCTGAGTTTCTGTCCACACTATTTCTGACCTACACCATTATAATCCTGTCATTTCTATCCAGCAAATATTTACTCAACTCACTCTATGCAGGGCACTGTACAGGGTACTAGCAACACTGGATGGAATGGACTCAATTCCTGCTTTCAGAGAAAGGCAAGCATAATGTAGCACACAGTGATAGAGGTTCCACAGGGTTATAACTTTTTTATTGTACTGTAGAAGGAAAGAGAAGACAACAAGTAATGCTGACCAGGGAATAAAGGTTTGAGTGAAGGTCATTTGAGCTGAGTCTTGCAGAATAAGCTGGAAATTCTGGCATTCAAAAGTGTAAGACAGCAGACATAGAATGGCAAAAGCCCTGAATAGCACTCTGGCCTCAGAATCAGCCCTTAAGTCATTCGGATCCAGCTAAAAAACCCATGAGAGTTTCACAGACATGGAAAGCCATGACACTGTGGCCAAAAAAAAAAAAATGACCTAAATGAAAGATCTCTGTGAGTGGATCCTAGTGGAAAGAACGGGCCATCAAAGAAGGCGGTACCTTTCTCTGAAGGGAGGAGAGAACTTCCACTTTGAATATGGCCTTGTCTAAATAAAATTGGAGTTGGTGAACTCAGGAGGCTTCCATAGCCTTGGCAGCTCATGACAAGAGCCTCAGGTGATTACTGACATCATAAATAAGAGTTTCAATTGTTAAATCAACAGCGGGAATCACTGTGCACCTGCTCCCCATGTAGGACCTCTGCCCTTAGTGTGTTGTACTATGAGAATTAATGGTGAAAGTACTACTCAAGCAGTGCTCTATACTTTGTGTGTCTTTGTGGGTGCAGTCTGTTGAAATCTTTACTTAGTATATACTAAGTTGATCTGTATATAAAGATAATTGAAAATGAGTCAAGATGAAGAATGGGATGGGAGAGGGAGTGGGAGATGGGATGTTGCGGGTGGGAGGAAGGTTATGGGGGGAAAAGCTGCTATAATTCTAAAGTTGTACTTTGGAAATTTACATTTATTAAATAAAAGTTGAAAATAAAAAAAGTGTAAGAAAAGACCATTTCAATAGAAAACAGAGCATGTACAATGCACAACAGCCTGCAAATGCGGATTCATGGGGAACCATTCCCAAAGGGGTTAGAAGACTACTGTGTGATGAGATGACAGAAGCAATTAGAGTTGGTTTGTCATCATATTGATGTCTTCAGACAGGCAGCAGAGAGTAGAGTGGAGTGTAGAGGGTAGGTTTAAGTATGCAGAGCTCAGAGCAGGATAACCAGGTTCAAATCCTGGCTTCTTCTTTTACTAGCTGTTAGAATCACGGACAGCCACTTAGCCTTTCTGTACTCCAACCATTTTTTCTGTAAAATAGCAATGATGAAATTTGTTGTGTGCAATATATTCGTACCTGGGATTGATAAAGTAAATAAAGTAGTACCTAGCGCCTAACAAGCATCCAGAATTGTCCCTTATGACATTTTTATTCGCATTTTTGACTCATATTACTCATAGAAATCCTGTAAAGCAAACTGGGAGTTTGTCCGCACAGAGCTTAGCACAGATCCTGACCATGGCAGAAATCCAGGAAAGGTTTGGGGAAGGGAGAGAGATTCAGAGACTTCAGTGGAAACAAACACTTTGGATGCTTTCTCTTCATGGTGAAATCTCCTTCAATATCTTTCCTGGCACAATGCTAACAAAAACAAAGCTGCTCACATGATGCAAAGGGTAAGAGCATTTTATTTTATGTATATATGGAGGGCTTTTTAATAAGATCCTAGAATAATAGACCCTAAATTGTTAAGATTATGTCTCGGTAGCACACTGACTTTAACAGCAATAAGCCTCCACAGCTATGGACTGTTCCAAGCTCTACTACAGATAGTAATGTGTTAATCCTCTTAACCATGCACTAAGGAAGCACCTGTGAATGAGCACACTTCACGGGTAAGGCAACCGGGACACAAGACAGGCTCAGTCTCCAAGGGAAAAAAGCTAAGAAGATATTTTCTGTTATTTCCTAGGTACTTAGTCTAAGACTTCAAGTACTTCTGCATTGAACTTGTATTTATTTAGCCATACAAAAATATTGTGATGGCCATTGAAGTGCAATGAGTTAAGCTGCTGCTTGGGACACCCACACATAAAGAAGTACCTGGTTCTAGTCCCAGATGCTCTGAGCTTCTGATACAGATTCCTTACGATATGCCTACAAGGGAGGGGATGATGGTCCAGGTGCATGGACTCCTGCCACCCACATGGAAGACCAGGCCTCTACATTCTGTCTTTGGCCTAGCTTCACCATGGCTGTTGTGGACATCTGGGGAATGAACTAGCAATAGAAGACCTCTCTCTCTCTTTCTCTCTGGCTCTCCCTGTTACTCTGCCTTTCAAATCAGTAAATCTTTTAAAATATATATGTAAATATATATGTAATTTGCTTTATATTTTTTGCATATAATAACATATATGTAAATATGTCACAGAGCAAAGGTAAACAGGTTTTAAAAAATACTAATTCTTCATAGTCCATACTATGCAATAAGAAAAATTACTTCTTTTTTTTCCCCCCATGGTCTATACTTCTTTGATCTGTGAAACAAATCAAGGTATGTTTATGAAGTTATTCCTAAAAAAAACTATATTTTCAAGTAGTTTCAGATTTCATGGTCATAGAAAGAAAAAAAAGATATTCTGCAACTAATAAATCAGGGTTGACATTGTGTGCATGCAATCCATTTGTCTAAACAGTTACAATCCTGCTTAATGTTTCAACGATCTCTTGCACTATTTACTTAATACATTCATTAAACTGTATCTCATTGAGTATTTTTGACAGTATGTGCTATTGTTTAAATCCAATTCATTTCAAACATTAATAAAATAGTAACTTTTGGAAATAAATGAGCATGTAGGAATATGAGTTCATAAGGCAGAGAAATGGGAAGTAGGTTAGACTCTATTTAGCTGAGACAGAAAATTAGATATTCTCATCATAATTTTAGTTTATTATAGAATTATGATGTATTATTACCTGGGATACAATTTTAAATTATGCTCAATCTTCCTCTCAAAATTAAGTGTTATCATAACCTCAATTAAAATCTGACACAACTAAAAATTCAGAAGGCTTAAAGGATGTTTCTTTTATTTTTTCTTTCAATTGCTACAAAGTTTGGAGTTTTAAAAATTGTTATTATTTCAGGTTTTGCTTAGTAGATGCTTAATATATATCTAAAAGCAGAAAGTCTCAACAATAATGTAGAATACGTGTATAGGGGAAAGCATTGTGATGCAGCCGGGTAAGCCACTCTTAGGATGCTGCATCCACATTGGAGTGCCAGTTTGAGTCCTCCACTTCCCTTCCAACTCCCTGGTAACCCGCTTGGGACGGCAACATCTCTTGCCTCTGCTGTAGAGTAAGCTCCCTTGACATTTGTGCCATGAAACAGAGGCCATTATTAAGACCTCAGATCTGAATGCGTGTATAGGTGGCTACATTTACCAGCTTTTCTACCCAGCTTCCATATTTCCAGCTCAGTCCTTAATTATTATGCACTTCCATGCTCATTTGATTAAGGTCGACTTTTCCAACAAGATAATCAAGTTGATTAGAGCCAGAACTGTGTCTATTTTTGTACAGAGTAGTCTGCAGCAGCTAGCCCTACACCAGATACATAAGAAGTACTCAATCAGCATTTACTGATAATTGAATTACATGAGTGATTGAATTACTGAATAATTAATTGAAAGAATGAATGAGTAAAGGAATTTCTTGACCAAAGTATTTGTTTAAAAGTGGATGATTTTGATCCTTGTTTCAATTACATCATTTCTAGTGATTTCAGGCTTGAAATACATTATAAGATAAAATGACATACATACTTCATTATAATCACATGATTTTTGTACAATAAAGATTTACTCCATGTATTTCTTTTGCTAATTTCAAAAATAATTTAATGTGTCAATATGAACCAGTCATTTACAGAAAGTAATATAGATTTCTTCCTTGATTCGTTAAAATGAATGCAACCTAAAGGAATATAATTTGAACAAGTGTTACACACTGAATATTTATTGATACTTTTATCTGCCTTGATTGTTGTTTTTGAGGTTGTTTTTAATTAATAGAGGTACCATGCATCACTGGCGATTTACTTCTTTGGAATGTTCTGGCCAACATATAGCCTTTGCACAGGAACTTTCTTTGAAAAAGCCACAGGGCCTCTGGGAGCTGCTCCAGAAACTTGCATTATCATTATTTCTGCAGCCTGCTGGGAATTCTGCAGGTTGGATCCACTTGGAACAGTGCTTATTACTGAAACCCATCATGAAGAGTGTTTGCATGAAATAATGAAAGCAAGATGGGAAATGTTCACCCAGTCAGGAATTCCAAAGTTACAGATGGTGTGAGAGTTTCACTGTCTTCACATTTACATTTTTATCATCTGTCCAGCCGAGGATTTAAAACACCAACACCCTTTGTCTCACTCTTGGCTGCACTCAAAGTACATGGATTCAAAGACCAAATATTTAAGGTTGTGTGTATGTGTTTTTATAAGCACTCACTGTGGGATCTTTGCCAGCCATTTTGCATTCTTCGACTTTGATTGTAGATGCTGGCCAGAAAACCTGCCCAGAGAGGAAAATAAAGGTTGTATAATCTCACTGTGCTATATGACAGCTCAATGCTCTTCATTTTTACCAACAGATTTCATTAAGGTACTTCTATAGTCACATTTCAAAATTCTTTCATTTTATGAACTCAATATTATTTACTTACAACTATGTCTTATTTCTTCATCTGCTTTCCTTTTTAACAAAAGTATTTCAGTAACCCATGACTAATGGCTAATTTTATATTAAAATAAGGTTATGAGCATGCATGAGAATTTAGCCAGTTGTCAAACTGCTGGTTAGATGCTCACTTTCCACATCAGAGTGCCTGGGTTCCAGTCCCAGCTCCATCTCCTCACTCCAGCTTCCTGCTAATGTGGACCCTAGGAGGTGGTGGGGATAGCTCCATGTAGAAGGCCTGATTTGAGTTGTAGCTTCCAGCTTCAACCCAGCCCAGCCCTGGCAGATGTAGGCATTGGGAGTAAACAGTAGATCAGAGGTCTCTGTCCGTCTCTCTTGATCTCTCAAACAAATTAATTAAAATAGATAAAGTCATTATTAATATAAGTGTGTGAAATATAATGTGTATTTTACTCCTTTTGAATTAGAGTTCACTTTTCCCAGCTGCTTCTTTCACAGTGAATTTACATTTACTTGGCTGTCTCAGTTTAATATTATTTCTGGTAAAACACACAGTTGGGTTTGTAGATTAATTAAAATGGGCCCCTAGGCACTTCAACAGCTAAAACAACTTGAAGGAAATCCAAGAGATTCCCTCTCTGAAACACACTGCTCACATTCTAAGTCATTACAGCCTTCGATCAGGTCTGGCATTGATGACTACTTTTTTTTTTTGCCTTTTTTTTAACTGTCAATAGGTTGGCCATATTAACATAGTAAATGCACCAGTCTATTCAATGCAATAATTTTATAGTTAATCTACTTTTATTTCTTAACCCCAATGAAACTCAGTTTCACTTTCTGATGTGCAAAAAAGAGACAGCCTGATAGGCCACACGTGTTCAAATAACCATGCATTTAATAACCGTGTGGCTTCCAAGACTTCATGTATTACACACCAGTGACCAGATAGATCTTCTCTAATCTGGCTATTTTTCTTCATGCTATGCTCCATGCCCTTCTCATTCCCTTTCTATAAATATATACACAGGAAGAATTTTCATATTTTTCTCTGGGTTTTGGGTTGCTGAAAACTATGAGACAGAAGGAACTGAACTTAAAACATTTTCAGTCCATGAAGTTAAGTATTTACTTCCTACTTTACATTAATATGTAGTCAATATTCTTCACTGTTCCAATGAAATACTTAGTTTTTCATTTTCTTTACATTTTTAAAGAAAGAGGCTCATGTTGTGGCAAAGCAAGTTAACGCCTCTGCCTCCAATGCCAACATCCTATATGGGCATCAGTTCGAGTCCTAACTGCTCCATTTCTATTCTAGCGCCCTGATAATGGGCTGAAAAAAGCAGTGGGAGATGCCCAAGTACTTGGGTCCCTGCTACCTACCTGGGAGATTGGAAAGAAGCTCCTGGCTGCTGGCTTAAGCCTGGCTCAGTCCTGGCCATGGCAGCCATCTGGGGCATAAACCAGAGGATGGAAGATCCCTGTCTCTCCTCTCTGTAACTCTGACTTTCAAACAAATAAATCTTAAAACAAAACAAAAATCTTTCAAACAATTAAATCTTAAAAAAAAACCTTTTTAAAGGAAAAGGCACCCAGCAGGTAACATTGCCCTCATGAGAAAGATGAACTTGGGGCTGGCACTGTGGCACAGCAGGTGAAAGCCCTGGCCTGATGCGCCAGCATCCCATATGGGCACCAGTTCTAGTTTTGGCTGTTCCTCTTCCAATCCAACTCTCTGCTATGGCCTGGGAAAGCAGTAGAAGATGGCCCAAGTTCTTGGGCTCCTGAATCCACATGGGAAACCTGGAAGAAGTTCCTGGCTCCTGGCTTCGGATCAGCGCAGCTCCGGCCGTTGCAGCCATCTGGGGAGTGAACCAGCAGATGGAAGACCTCTCTCTCTGTCTCTACCTCTCTCTGTAACTCTTTCAAATAAATAAAATAAATCTTAAAAAAAAAAAAAAAGGATGAACTTACACTCAAAGGTTCTTGACTTATGTTGTTAATATTCAAGGAAAGAATGTGATCTTTGCTGCCCACATATATCCGGTCTTGATCTTCATCCATTAATAATATCCTATAGTCTAGTGGGTGGTGGGATAGGCTGAAGTATTCAGAAGTCTTGGTTTCTCGAAGCTCTGAAATAATGAACAGCACACATGAACATAGAGTATTGTGGTTCTATAATTCTGTTATTTTAATGAGAAGTCTCATAGGAATATTTATTTAAAAAGTCAATTTTTAACCTATAATAATAAATTAATTTTAAAATGGAGTTATTTTTATGGTTATTTTTGTTTATTGTCTTTACACTGAAGTAAAACACCAATAAACCAACAAGTGCAATGCTAAAGCTTATGGTAACATGATATAATAACAAAATTGTTCAAATTCACAATGAACTCAACTCAGTTTTATTACTGGATATCATTAGCTCGAAAGTAGTTGACATAGATAAACCAAATATATATGTAATATACATATGTATGATACACCCACACAATGAGCAGACTGAACAAAAACAAAACAAATGATGCTGTTAAATATTAAATTCTTTACCTCAATGCAGTCATTTGTTTGGGATGATTTCCTACTTTATTATTTTTTTTTCATTGCCTTACTTCCTCAACATTTTCTTTCTAGTCTAATATAGTTATCTATATTTGAAACTTGAAAATAAATTTATTTTTATCCATTGTATTTCACTCAGGAGGCAATATCATTTATATTTAACATTTTTGTATTCACTTGAATGATGAAGTGACAAAGAGAAAGATATCTTTCATCCACTAGATCACTCACCAAATGGCTGCAACAGTCAGGGCTAGACCATGCTTAAGCTAGAAACCTGGAATTCTATGGGTCTCATCACATGAGGTAGGGGTCCAAATATTTGGGCCATCATCTGATGCTTTCTTAGATGCATTAGCAGGGAGCTGGATACGAAGTAGGGCAGCCAGGACTCCAATCTTGTGCTCTAATTTAGGATGCCTGCATCAGAGGCAGTGGCTTAACTAGCTACACCACAAAGCAGGCCAAGCAATATCATTTAAATGACAAGGTTCCTATGGAAATATCAAAATGGAGAGTAGGCATGGGGATTTGGCCTGGAGGTTAAGATACTAACTGAGATGTCTGCATCCCTATCAGAGTGCCTGGGTCTGAGGCCTGGCTCCCCTCCTGATTCCAGCTACCCACTAATGTGACCCTCAGAGGCAGCAGGTATGGATCAAGTGGTTGAGTCCCTCCTACCCACGTGGGAGATCTGGATTCGTTCTTGGCTCCTGGTATTTGGAAAGTGAATCAGCAGATGGGAGCAGTCCTTTCTCTCTGTGTCTCTTTTTCCCTCTCTGTTTCATAGCTAGCTAGCTAGATGATAGATAGATAGATAGATAGATAGATAGATAGATAGATAGATAGATAATAGATAGACCATTGACAACAGGAGAAGACTAGGTGGCAGTTTGGAAACAGGGCTTGGGGTGCTGATCTTCAGTTACTGAGCCTCACTGGGATAGAGAGGTGACACACTGAGGAGGTAGTGCTGCTGGCCCAGAGTCCAGGCCAGCTTCTTTTATGATGAGAGCAGAAAATGGGAAAGGGAAAAAGGCAGCCCACCTAGACCACATGTTACAGCTAACCCAGGAAACCAATCCAAGGGTGAGAACACAGGATCAAAGCAAGTGTCACTGAAGGCTGAAGAAGACACAGAAATCCTTGAGTATTTCTATTACTCAGGAGTTGCATAAAGCTTGCTTTTCATCCAAAGGATGTAATTTACGGTTGTGCAAATTTTCTATGAAACATCAGGAATAGGGTATCGCTGGGGTTGCAGAATAGATGTTCAACAAGTACCTCTGAATAATTAAGTCTTCTATGAAATAGAGTGAAGCAGCCAAATGTGACTGAGCTCCAGGCTCAGGGGTCCAATTGCTGTGGTCTGAATACTGGTTCTACCATTTCAATCCTATATATACTTGGCAAGTGCCTTTATCTCTCTGCACTCTGGTGTGCTAATGGGTAAAGACAGATAATAATAGTACCTATATCACTGGATTGTTGGGAGGTTTAAATCAGTAACACATATATAAAGTTCTTTAAGAATGCCAGATCTATAGTGACACGGGTTACATATTATTAACACTTGGAGCAAATTTATCTAGCAAAGTAAGAACAGTTCCTTACAAAAGGGAGGAAAAAAATGGAGGAATATATTACATCATTTATATTTAATCATAACATAGTTCATTTTAGAGCAGATTCTGTTCAAATTATTTGAGGAGAGTACAATAAAAAGATGAAGCTTTTTAAAGGAAAGTAATTGTCTGAATATGCAAGATCATTTTGGAGTGTGTGACCTAAGAGATATTGTTGTGGTTATCAAGACATAATACTGACAAACACCTACCATACTCCAAAAGAAAAGGAAGATTTGGTGAGAGAAACACTTAAAACAAAGGCCATGGAATAATTTTATATGGGGTTGGCCTTGGAGCAAAGGGAGTATGCATTTCTCTTGCAAGGTGCAAGCTAAGAAAAGGTGAAGTGAATATTCCTTTACTACTCTGGGGGCATGCATAAGGGACACGTCTCAGTTAGATTACTTAGCTATTGATAGGTGAAACCCGAGTTAACAAGAAATGTCACAAGCATGCAGATTCCTAATCTGCCTTTAGAAATATCAGATTTTCAGGGGGAGGTTTCCCATTCTTGTCATGGATGATTTTGTCAAGATCTGAGAGCAGATGCTGCCTCAGAAGAAGAGTATATGGAAAACGAAAAGCCAAGAATAGAGATTGTTCGTTCATTGGTGGATGCAGAGGGGAGCCTGGGATCAAACCCAAGGCAGTGCAGGATGTACAGGAAACAGGCTATGTGGAAAGAGGCCAGGTGTGGAGTCAGATGCGCCCAGGTAAAACTCAGCTCCACCCCTTATTAAGTACGACAAGCATAGTCCAAAAGGTTTCTGGAAAATTGAATTAAAAGATGTTTGTTTAAATGTCAAAAAAAATAGGAAAACCATGAATCCATGCACTTTCTAAAGCCATTATATTATTTTGGGAAAGCTGCTTCCTTTCTCCCCATTGCAATTTCCTCATTGGTACATTGGTAATAATGATTCACAGCATAAAAGATGTCCCTCCGGCATGCAGGAGATGGTCAGTGTCAGTGCCTTTCAGGAACAGACACGGCTGCTGGTCTACCTCATAGAGCTTCCCTTTCCTTCATTTGCGCAGAGCCCCTTGGTGTCAGAGTGAGCCCATTCCCCTAGCCAGTGAGTCGCTTCAGTGTGGCCATGTGATCCGTTCTGGCTCGTGGAATTTTACATAAAGATTTATTTATTTATTGAAAAGGTAGCGTGTGTGGAGGGAGGGACAGATAGAGATTTGTCATCTGCTGCTTTACTCACCCTAAAACCCCCAACAGTCAGTGCTGGGCCAGGCTGAAGCCAGCAGCTACCAGTTCCATCTGGGTCTTCCATGTGAGTGGCAGGGACTTTGCTGCTGCCTTCCCAGCATTATAAGCAGTTCACTGGATGGAAGCAGAGTAGCTGAGACTGAGACAGGCTCTCCTACGTGGAGAGCCCAAGCAGTGCCCCAGTCCCAGGCAGTGGTGGTTTAACCCACTGCACCAGTAGGCAAGCCCCTGACCTATGAAATTTGAAAAAATTTAAAGTAGTAGGGCTACTGAAAGAAGTTTTCTGGGTCTTAAAAACTGGTACACAAAGGAGATTCTTTTTTTTTCTGCCTGTGGACATTAAGAGCTTGTTATACTTGTAGCAACACTAGCTACTAAGATGGCTACTGGCTAAAAGTGGTAAGGAAAAATATAGGGAAAAAAAAACTAGGTCCTTTAAGAAATCACTGTCACTAACCACAAAACTGCACTATCACTGGATTACTTCTCTTATATGAGATTTAAAAAAATTCTTGTAGTTTTTAGGCACCTTAAATTGCAGTTTGCTTTTCCTGTTGCAGAAGAGCATACTAACTGACACATTTTTTTGGGTGTTCACAGCCCCACCTCCCACTGCGTCACCCTTTCTACCATGGTTTAAGTGTTATGTCCAGAATATTCCTTTTCTTTTTCTTTTCCTAATCTATGTTGAAATAAAACCAAGCGTATGACCTCAGCTGGCAAAAGAGCATCAACTGAAATTTGTTTGCAAGTAACAACAATGACAGTTCTCTTCTTTAGAAAATAATCAATTTCTTGCATTAATCAAAATACCAGCGGGAGCAATAACCACATTAACTTAAAACCTTTCTGGTCCAAGGATCTTTATCTATTTTTCCAAGCCATAAAGCATCTTCAAATTTAATTACCTGAAGCTCATTGACAGATGACAGCTGTTAACCAAGGAAGATTTACTTTAGAAGTGTTCTTGTTATGATAGAAGGGTAGGCTTTCCCTAAAAGGCTATTTAAATTGCTGTTAGTAGCCCTAATTGAACTTTGGAGCTTGGGAAAGAGAACTATTTATTTATTGTGTGTGTGTGTGTGTGTGTGTATGTAAGAAGAGTTCAAAGCAAAGAGAATCTTATCTATAAAAAGAATGACCCAAGAACCCATCATTTTGGTTTAAAGGAGACTCAACTTAAGGAAATGAATGATTCAATGATTTGGCCAGAGTTATAGAAATTGATTGATTTAATGATATGGCTACAGTGAGAAGATCACAATTAGTAGTCCTCCATCAACACAAGTCAACGAATGGTGCTATCCTACATTCCTGTAGATCTTAATAATGATGTCATCCTTTTTACAGCATCAGAGTACAGAACGTTGTGCTGTCTCTAATGACATGCTCAACTGATACAGAAGAGAATTTGCTGAGAGCATGTAGCATTAAATGCGCTGGCCCCAAAAAGGGCAGCATAGGTCTCCAAGTCTCTGGGAAAATCTTCTGGGAAACAGCATAAAAAATATTACATGCTTCTATCCTGAAATCTGCATCATTGCAGCACCCCCAAAGTGGAAAATTACTGTGATGTTTGCTATACTAATGTTCCCAGAGGCTAAATTTCCAGTGCAAAATGCTTACCTAAACTACAGTATTCACATGTACATTTTTTTTCAGTAAGGGAAGCTTCTGTGCACTTTGAGAATTTGACCAAAACTGGAAGATCAGATTCTTC